CTTGTGGCACTCTGGAGTGTGGGGCAGAACTGTTCCAGCTCCCTTGGGGCTGAGGGACATGACCTTGATCCACCCACTTAGGCAGAGTTTGGAGATATGTTCAAAGGCCTCTGAGACTGACTCCCTTTGCCACTCAGACCCAAGCAGAAGCAGGTGGGCAGATCCCAGGCAGAGGTTTCGCTTTCTTGTGTTCATAAACAAGCCCTGCAGGGACGCCTGGAATCGTGATTCTGGCTTGTGAGACACCAGGACATTTTTGAGTGAGCTGTTCTATTACCTGAAAGGGGCTCAGGCTCTCCTCCCAAGAGCATGAAAGGTTGTGGGTGATTTTTAAGCCTTTTCTTCACACATCAGGAAATATTTTAAATAAATGGCAGAAAAAGGAGGCTCTGACTCATCTGGCCCATGGAGCCTGGAAAGCACCCCTAGCTGGGTACCTGTCTTGCCCTGAAAGCTGGTGACATGGGAATCCTTGATTTCAGAAACTAGGGTTTCATCAAGTAGACCTAGATGAATAGAAAACAGTTATCTCCAAATTGGATAAAACATTTTTAAACTATTGAAAATATCTAAACTTAAAAGTATGAAAGAGGTGGTCAAACACCAGAAATGAAGAAGCCCTGCCGGAGAGCCCGAGGAGAGCCGGTACCCTGGTAGAAGCTGGGAGGGCCCAGTTAGGCAGGACCTCGCTCTGAGCTCCAGGCTGGGATTGGACCCCTACACCCGGGCCCCCTGCAGGAGTCAGCCCAGCCCAGCCCAGCCCCCCTGCCTGTGACGGATGGGAGACTCCAACTGCAACCAGAGTCAGGGCTCAAGGAGCCATCAGCCCTGGGTGGCAGGTGGAAAGTGAGAAGAGAAGCCAGTATACAAATGAGCTCTCCCCAGGGCCGTGCTGGAAAACCCGAGCTGAAAATCAGTTAGGAACTAGTGCAGAGCCAGTGACCCTGTAACTCCCGGCTCTTGGTCCACAGGGGACCCCAGGGGAGATGACTGCTTAGGGCAGGCCCACCTGCAACTCATGAAGACAGGTGTCTGGGAGCTTCTCCAGCATTCTGTGTGTACATTTTAAAAGATGTCATTTTCTTGAAAAAGCATAAAACAGTTCATTATGATCCAGAACACTGCCCGCAGAGCCAAGTGAAAGACGAGACAGAAGAGGCTGGAGATCGTGGAAGAGGAAAAGCAGATCCTGCTCTGCACAGCACATAGGGCCGAAGCCACATGTCCAGCTGTGTATCCTGTAATCCAGGACATGCTCCCTCAGCACTCATCCTGTTTACACAGTTAAAGCCTAACTCACGTTGCTTTTCAATGATGATACAATTTTCCTCTGGGAATGTATATATAAATGAATTTATAGTCAAAGGTAAGGCCTGAAAAGCTTTAAAATATAGCAATATTTCAGGGTAAATTGTTATTCCCCTAGTATCCTCAGGGGGTTGGTTCCAAGGCCCACCTCAGACACCAAAATCTCTGGATGCTCAGATCTCTTCTAGTGTAGTATTTGCATACAAGCTGCACACAGCCCCCACATTGTCTCTAGATTACTTGTAATACCTAGTGCAGTGGAAATAATCCAGCTGTATTGTTCAGGGAGTGACAACAAAAAAGGACAGTACAGTTTTCTTCAGCTTGGTTTTCATTGTGGTCAGTTGAACCTATAGAAGCAGAAGCCTTGGGAGGGTCCACTGTAGAACCACATATTGAAAACTGAGCCAGAGAGGACAGGACCCAGGCAAGGCTGTGTCCTTCCCTCTGGCTCCAGTTTATGAGTGTTAGCCGTCTCCCTACCATTCTCTCCAAGTGTGGACACTGGACAGAGATCAGGGATGTTTATCTAGTCGGTTTGCTGACTAGCTGTGTCTTTGGGCCAAATTACATGCCCTCTCTGATCTGGATTTCATTCCCTGAAGAATAAGGAGTGTTGTACCAGCACCTGATGAGGCCTAGAGCTCCCTTCATTTCACCTGGGAGCCACGAAGCCTTGGCAACAAAGCTGGGATGTGGGCACAAACAGGAAGTCAAGGCACTGGGCAGGAAAACTAGCTTAATTAGGAAGTCTCCACAGCTCCAAAGCTCCAGAACATCACAGTGATACCTCCTTGGCTCAGATCAGAGACAGACTATTTTAGGGAAAAACAAAAATTTGTGTTACTTGCCATTGGCATTCCACACATTCCTTCCTGCTGGAGAGAACAGCAACACAGTGCCATCTTGGGAGCAGACAGCAGCCCTCACCAGACAACTATACCTGCCAGCACCTTGATCTTGAACTTCCTAGCCTCCGGAACTGTGGGAAAATAAATTTGTTTATACATTCCCCAGTCTCAGGTATTTTGTAACAGTAATACTGAACAGACTGACATCCACCATGTATACAAATGGTTTGAATGAGTTCATGAGGACCCTAGTCTGTGGCTCACTCAGATCATCCAGCTTCTGAAGAGTTCCTCCCTCTATTGACTAAGTGAATTGGTGGGAAACAGAAACTTGAGCCCTCTGCCTGGAACAACTATTATTGTCCTTAGAAGAAAACATGGAGGTTATAGACATGTAAACATTTCTTCTAAAACCCAAGTCATTCCAACTAATTATAAAATATCCACAGGGTCCTCCCAAGAGTTGTCACCGATGTGAGTTCGAACCTTGGAGGGGATCCTCAAAGCTGGAACTGCAGTCAAGAGCCTTATGTTTTGGGTCCAGTCATTGTTTCGGGGACAAATGCTGGGCTCTGCCCTCAGGGTTGGCTCCCTTGACTATGCTGTCTTTTTCTTGCTCCTCATACAACTGAAGGGCGTTTTTCAGATGAGGCAGCCCTGGGTGTCCCCACTGCCCCCAGAGGAATCTTCCATCTGCAAACTCAACAGCCAGCAAGAGCGCAGCAGCCAGACCCAGTTCTGTACACTTTGGCTCCACTTCATCCATCCTGTTTGGTGGCTCTCTAAAGCAGCCTGAGTCATTAAAGTAGCAAAGTCATTTTCAAAGTCCTTTCCTCAAACAACCCCTTGAAGCCAAACAGAATTCCATTAATCATTGACTGGACGGGGAAGAATGGTCACCGCTCACTCTATTTCCATTAGCCCCATCCTCCCAGGCTTCAGGAAAATCAAGTTTCAACATTTGATTAAGCAAATGACAAAACACTTTTTTCCTGTAAACACTGAGTGCCTAGAGCCATAATCCCTTGCTCTGGCCATTAGCTGCAAATATTTAAACTGCTAAAAAAGAAATGTGACTAAACCAACCAGGACAGACAAGGTTTCCCAACCTTGGCACCTCTGACACTTGGGGCCAAATCTTTCTTTGTGGTTGGAGGGTGAGGGCTGCCCGGTGCTTGGAATGATGTTTAGCAGCAGCCCTGACCTCTGCCCATTGGGCACTAGTAGTGCCCCACCCACTTATTGTAACAACCAAAACTGTCTTCAGACATTGTCAAGTGGTCGCTGGGGAAAGGAAGCACAATTGTCCCTGGCTGAGAACCACAGGAACAAGCCAGTTCAACTGTCACCTTAGGAATGAAAGCTTGGCTGGACCCACCCCTGTGGACCCACCCTTAAGTCTGCATCCATGTGTTTCTAAAGCCAATCACATTACAGAGGCCCACTTCTGAAGACAGACCAGCTCTTGGGTCCCATTAAACAAATCACCTCTCTTTGGCCTAAGTGTCCAAAAGCTTTCCGGTTATGAAATTTCCTGCGTATTTGACGTAATCTTTACACATCAAATCATCCGACTTCAGAGGAATCCATCCCTAACACTTCTCTTGACCAGCAAATTAGTGGGGAAACAGAAACTTGAGCCCTGGAACAACTATAGTGGTCTTCAGGAGGAAACAAAGAAGTTAAGGACATGTACACATGTCGTCTAAAAGCCAAGTCATTCCAACTATGGTAAAAATCTACAGCATGGATTAAAGTCATAAGCATGAAAATTAAGTTGTAAGCACAGAAAACACGACAAAGAAACAGGAATGGCAGCAGGGAGGGCTGGGCCTCATTTTCTGGTTGTTTCTTTGAGGTTGTTCCTTAGAGTCACAGAACCTATCTTGGTGCATTTCTTTTGGAACCAAAACATGTTTACTTAGCTTTTAAAAAGTCCGTGTCTGCCAAGAATTCTCAGAACAATAACTGAAATGGTTGGTTAGCATTTAACGTTAGAAGGAAATAAAGCTTCTAACATTTCATTTCTTCATCCTGTGAATTATTTTCATTCTTATAATTATGATCTTGTGGCCAATTTTTATGCCCAACAGTAAAAACAGAAAAGAGGAACAATATTGCCGATATGGCATTACAAGCCATCAGACATAACCCTGCATGTCAAATTTTGATTATGGTAAGATTGCCTGATTAGAAAATAATAAGATCAAAGACTAAAAACAACAGGAACCATGAAAATATATATACCACCATTGCCAAAACCAATGTTTTTCTATATCCAGCTAGTTATATAACAAAGTAGCAGAGGAAATTCACCTTGCAGACTAAAAATGGATTTAGTTAAAAACAGAAGTATTTACATTTTTAGTTACCTTGATCTGAACTGCTTCCTCCAAAGACATGTACATTATTAAATTCCTGGTGACCTCATAATGGATGAGAGAAATCAAGTTGACCTGCTTTCCTGTTTGGCTGTGTTATGAGTAATCCATTCTTGAGAAATCCTTTTAAAATGGCCTACTAGACTGCTTACAGAGTTTTCCGGTTCTGCAGTTCTTCAAAATGATCTTAATAACCCATTCCTGGTTCCCTGGAAGTACTGACCAAACTTCACGATGGTGTGCTTTGGAAGAGAAGCCCCTGAGCTCTTGATTCCAGGAAAGCAGGATATGCTCATCACCATGTGCCCCCTGCCACCCAGAAACCTCCCACAGAGCCAGGAAGGCCCCAGGTCATAAAGTAAGCCAATGCAGACACTGGCGATGTTTTTTGTTTGTTTGTTTTTGTTTTGTTTTTTTTATGGTTTCTGTCAAGAAAAGATGAGGTCATTGCACCAAAACAAACATTTTTAGATCATTGCTTTATTTCACTATTGTTCAACAACAAAGTTCATCTCTCTCAAGGTGGATCTTGGATTGTTCCTTATGTTCTCATCCTTATTCTGAATAAAAAAGGTAATGAAGAAAAAGCCTGTACTTTTGGAGACCTGGAATCTTATTTATACTAATAAGCTTTTGACTGCAATTTCATGTTTCGATATTTCCTGCTGGCGTCTTGGTGGACACATGGAGCGCCCAACCCTCTGATGAAGATGGCTGTCCGTAACTACCACCGTTGAAACCAAAAGTAAGTGTTGAAAAATGCACCTTTTACAATAAAAAAGTAGAAACCAATTCAATTTCCTTTTTTTTTACGAATATAAAGTTTCTTGTAAATATGTACAGTCTTTTGAGCTAGTTCTATATAGCAGGAAGCATTTCACAAATGAGACACACAATATACATTTTTCAGGGCTTGTGATGCCCTTTTTCTCATGGAGATCCTAAATGAAATGCCAAGACTGAAAGACCAATTATCAGTGACCTTTCCAAATACTTGTGGACCAAGAGACAAAAACTTCAGCAAACATTCAGTCAGATCTGCCCTAGGGGAGGGGGAAGAGAATATGATCCCAAGCAACACATAAAACACAGCAGCAGGACACTTGGCAATGGGCTACAACACGGAGGTTCATGGGTGGTTCAAACAAGAAAGCACTTAGGTTAAGAGACGAGCAGGAAGGAGCCGGTATTTGGGCCAGGTTGCAATCTGGAAAGTGACTTGAACTGTGGACACATGGGTTGAAAACACGGTCACGTTCACCTGCTGCGGTGGAAACAGGTCTACCTTCAGCCCACCTAGGATGTGCCTTGGTTTTGAGGCATGCCTAAGAATCATGGAGAATCCAAAGCAGGAGAGGCCTTGTGGGAGATTAAAGGCAGAAATAAGGCCGCTAGTTAGCTTGCCAACTGCAAAGCCTCTAGGTTGGTTCTATACCAGTTGCCAGGAACTCAGCCCTCTGAAAGAAGGCAGAGAGAAATAGGGGGCGCCGCACTGCACCTAGGGAGGACCAGCCAACCCAAGGGGGCTGGAAGAGTTGAGCTACGGCTTCTCTCTAACATCCTGGTCTTATGTCTAGCCCTAGGCAAAGGCTCATTTGAGAAGTCACAGTTTCAGGGTAGAACCGTGCTGGATTTTGTGTGAACACAGTCATCCGTGAGGAAGTCGGCAGGGGAGCATGAGGGTCAGAGGGGAAACCGAGTCGGGGGCGGTTTGCTGAAGTCCTTCTCTGGTCGTAAGGCTTGAGCGTTTTGTTTGTTTGTTCAGTGCTACAGACTGCAGCTTGTTGTGGCCAGTTGTTGGCAAGTCGGCAGAGGGTCTCGATTCGGCGGGAGCTATGGGATGGCATCAACACATTGGCAGCGCAACCCAAAGGGGTCAGCCAGGTCAGGGGGCAGCACATGCAGTGAACCGCCATGCAGAGCTCCTGGACGGGTCTCCTCCCCATCCCAGAGTGGGGAGCAACACGCCATCAAGGACAGTCCCCTCCCAACCCAAGACCCCAACCCCAAGACCCATTAATGCTGGGCTCAGAGCAAGTCTATTGCATGCTTTCCTGGCCAAAGCTACATGGTAAGCGGGGACAGCAGGCTGGGGATGACACTGGGGGTCGAGGAAGGAAAGCTCGGTGAGGTCCCTTGGCCCCAGGTCACTGCCTCCAAGCTGAGGCCCGATGACCTCCGTACATTCTTAGCTGGTGGGAGGGGAAGTCGTCAAGGCCATAAAAGGCAATGAGAACAGTAAACATTTGGCTACGATGTCACCCTACATAAAGCAGGGCCATCTATGAAAATGGACTGGAACGAGAATGAAGCGACAGGAACTTGGGAGATTAGCGGAACAACGGGGACTCTTCTACACTACGTTTCAGTGGCAGAGACCTGATGGTGTGATCTAGCTAAAAATGACTACAACAGGAAATACACTGCTATTCAAATCTATTAAGAATTCTGTTGTCTTTGAAAAAAAAAAAGAAGAAGAAGAAGAAACAAAGGAGAAAACCAAAAAGAAAAACCAACCAACCCCAGGATCTTAAAGTAGCTAATTAGGATTCTAACCACAGTTAGTGTTCCGGTTGGTTTCCTCTGATGAACTGGTACAGGCTAGAGCTAGGTACAAAAGTTTATGAATGCTTGAAAGAGTAACAAAGTGCAAAGAGGGTGACTGCAGGAAGGTGCCTGGAGGAGGCCCCAAGCAATGACAGCTCTCAAGAGCCCCGGCCACCTGCACCTCTGGAGACAGGGGTGTCCGAGCCGAGGCAGGGCTGTGCCCAGCTGTGCCGTGGGTGGCTGAGCAGATGGGTGCTGGGGTCCCCTGCAGTGGAGTTCCATAGTGTGTTTGGTGTTTTCCTGCAGACTTGAGATGAGGAGTTGTTTTTTTTTTTTTGTTTTTTTTTTTTCTGGCTGAGATTTATACTGAGGACTGGTCCCAGACCTACGAGCAAAGTAAAAATGAGAAGGGCGTTAGTCATGCGCAGCCAGGACCTGCTGGGCTCACTCTGCACCATTCTAAACAGGCATTTGGAGTGCCTGGTCTGTCCCTCTGGTGGCCAGCAGTGAGGGTAGTGCAGGGCAGCACCCACACACAGAGCCAGCCTTTCAACTAGGGTGGCGAGGGGGTGACAGTCACCTAGACATTTGCAGAGCTGTGAAATTCTCCTGAGGGGCACATGTGCACTGACACACACACACCCAAGTTTACTGACAAGTGAGAAGCAATCTGAAAAAATGGTTTTTCCTCCTTTGTCTGCAGAGGTGCCAACAGTGAACTGCAGATGGCACTAGGAGGAGAACATTATGCAGAAAGGGGGACAAAAAGGTTGCTCAGCCGTGCAGAGCAGGCTCCTGGAACAGGCTGGCCTGCAGAGAGGCAGCAAGCACAGGCCTGTCCTGCTTGTGGGAACCCCAGTCTTCCTCCTGTAGATAATACATGCACATGATTTAAAAATTTTTTAAACTTCAAAGTTCTAGAAGGCCAACCCTGCTGAGTTTCTATGTAGCCTTCCGGGGGGAGGGGGGAGAATCCTGTGCAAAGAACATTTTGTACAACACATTATCATTTGTGTTTAATGGACACACACACACACTTATTCACACAGAACACCCCTCAAAGCTCTGGAGCTGTTGACACTTGCCTCTTGGGAGGGGAACAGTCCCGCCCTGGAGCAACTCCCACTTGAGGACATCCTACACAGCCACACAGCCACCCTCACGCCTACCATACCCCCTATCTGCCCGGGCAGCACCTTCTTCAAGACAGTACACTCTCCTCACCAACCCAAGTACCTTACAAAACCTGAGTAACAGTAGTGACCTCAGCACCTAAGGTCACGCCTCTGGACCTTGTGACAGACATGCAGGCCTCAGAATGTCACCTCACCTTGTTGACCTGCGACAGTGGGGTCCTCACGGCTCCCACAGGCAGCCGGCCCCTGCTGCTGTCTTCAAACAGCCTCCCAGGGGACCGCTCCCTCCGCGTGCTAAGCATGCGGCCTGGGGACTTCTCGCGCTCCAGGGGGCGGCCGGGAGACTTGTCCCTGCGTAGCTCTGTCCGCCCCTCGCGGTAGCGGTGGGGTGTGCTTGGCTCTCGGGGGTGGCTGGGGCCTTCGGGTGGCGCCGGACTGGAGGCCACGCGCTTGGTGATGTGCTCATTGTACGTCGGTGGGCCTCGCTTGTTGGGGCTGCTGGCAAGAAGAGAAGGGGGCAGGGAGCTGGGGAGTCACGATCCCCAAAGGGTGTCCCCCTTCTACTCTGTGGCCCCACACCTCAACGTCACCACCACTGTTTAGAAAAAGGCCAGGCCTGGAGCCCGGACCTCCTGCTTCTTGTGTCTGGGCAGTGAGGACAGGGAAGGCAGCAGCCACCACAACAGGAAGCCAAACTTCCTGGCCACAGTAAAGGCCACGCCTCCTGTGCGGGCTCTGTGGCGAAGCTCTTCCTGTGTGTGACCCCCTCATCTTGTTGGATCACAGCATCCCGGGGAGCCGGAAGCAAGCAAGACCCTCACTGAACAGGCAAGAAATGGAGACACAGGGCAGCGAGGTGACTGCTTGTGCTGGATTCCAAACCAGGTCGGTGTGAAGTCATGATCCCCACTACACCCTGCTGCCCTAGTGCCCTCAAGAGCTGGGAAGGGACAGAAGAAAGCCTTCCTTTGGGGCTAAGCCTGCTACAATCCAGAAGTCAGGGACCCACAAGGGCCTCAGTGCAAAGGAACAGTTTTCAGAAATCCTGTGCTGGTCACTGTCAGCTGCCATAACCTGTCCCACACTTGAGTCTGGTGTTGGGTCACCCCTCCCTGTAGGTGGCTTTCCACGAGTCTTTGTGGCACCTGCTGCAGATGTGGATGGTTCTAAGTCATGGCAGTAAGGTCATGGGATGCAGTAGCAGGCTGACACAGTCAGGAGGCCGAGCAGGGCGACCACAGTCCAGCCAGCTCACAGAGCATCGCCCCCAGAGGCCGGTGGCCGATGACAGAACAGTTGAAAACGCTGGGGCCTTTATTAGGGGTGGGGATCAAGCCCAGAGTCTCGTGCACGCCAGGCAAGTGCTCTCCCACTGAGCCACAACCCGGCTCCACGGGGCTTTCTGAACAATCAATCCGGCTGCACCCCCCAACTCCCCACCCTGGCCCGGGCCTGGAAGTTCCACATGAGGCCTCAGCACATCCCTGGCCTAATGACCTCTGAAGAAGCCAGATCCAGATGCACAGGGAGACAGTGAGCAGAGGCCACCTCATCGTGGTCAGTTCACTGTGAATAGCTTCATGTCTCTCTTGCTTCCCAGGGGCTCTAACTGGGGACTCAGTGCTCAGAAGGCCCACACCCCTGTGATGTCTGTGAAGCAGTGACACTCAGATTCCTACATCTTGAAATCAAGGTTCATGTGCTCATCTAGCCATACAGCTCTGAGATACAAAGACAAATAACAAATACACTCCAAGAGGAGGACTACATGAAGCCTATTGTAATGGCAGAGAAATCATAACCCCTGTCTTCAGAGGCCCATCAAAGAGCAGCGTGAGGGCGCTCGGTGCCCAGGGAAAGCAGGCAGGCCCAGGGAGGACGGCAGCCGAGATGAATGGGAGGAAGGAAACACTCATCATTGGAAGCCGAGCAGGCAGTCTTCCATCTACATAGCCATTAACGACCAATGATCTTCCACATCCATTTTATGTGTTTTGCAAAGAGTTATGTTTTTTGCTCTGCCAAACAGACCAGGAAAACGAGGCCTGCAGTGAATCACACCCACCAAGCACCCTTGTGCATTCTGACCTGCCCAGAGCAGTCGGCAGCAAAAGGACTGTTCCTTAAGGTGGGAGACAACCAAGACTGACTGCCGGTTCTCCAGACACGCCCGGGGGCCCCAGGGACCCATACACATTATTTTTCATCCCTGTTCACAGATACTGCAACCATTTTCAACTACAGAGTAAGCAACTCCTTACTGGGAAACGTAGGGTCTTGAAAGCAAGGTGTCCAGCCATCTAAGAGGCAATGAGGGGGGATCTAATTGCAATATTTTGACTTGTTTCTGGCATGACTTGGAAAGCACTTAAGGAGGATCTAGATATTTCAGGGGAAGATAGTGGACCACTGAGTGATCACTCTGGAGGCATCAGGAAGCACCTGGCTATTATAACTTGTGGATTCTTGGCAAGCTCCTGGGATTAAAACTATGCTTATGAGGGCAGGTAGAGCCCGCCCAGCACACAAGAGAACCTGGGCTGGATCCCCAGTACTTGCCAACAAACAGACCCACACTGACCAGACATGTAGAAGGGCTGGGGCCGGGGCTGGGGCTCAGTGGCAGAGCTCTTGCTTAGCACTGGTGAGGCACTGGGTTCAATCCTCAGCACCACATAAAAATAAATTAATTACATAAAGGTATTGTGTCCATCTACCACTAAAAATATTTAAAAAAAGAACAAAGAGCCGAGCATGGTGGTACATGCCTGTAATTCCCAGCAACTCTGGGGCTGAGGCAGGAGGATCTTAAGTTTGAGGCCAGCCTCTTGTCCATAGTGTAATGAAGCACTACCCAGTATGGGGTGCTTCATTACAACAACAGAAAATAGACTAATACATAGTGTTATTTTTAAAAAGAGAATTGTACACACATATGCTTGGATATGTACAAAAGATTTCTAAGTAAAAACACAAAAACTTAAAACATGGGTCCCTTCCTAGATGGGGACCTAAGTGGTGGGGGCTGGGGAGAGTTGAGAGGCATGACAGAGCCAGCAGAGATTTTGTGCTGCCATGTGCCTTTCTTAGTCCTTTGCATTCTACACACTGGGATTGGATCAACAATTCAAAAATTATGAAATGAATGAAATTTAAGAAGAATATCAGTGTGATCATGTTGGGGAGGTCCTGCATTCGTAGAGGCTACCACGCAGGCTGGGAACCCAGGCCCGCACCCACTGCTTCACGCCTCTGGGCCTGCACCTCTGTTTGGCACAGCTTTCCTCCTGCCAGTATACCCCACTGCCTTCCCTGTCTGTCACCCCCAGCCTCACTTCTCCCTGGCCCCAAGTCCAGGCTGCAGGGCCCTCCTGAGCCTCCCTAGTGCTTAAACTACCCCACCAGAGCCTCAACCTATGCTGTGATCCCCTGACTGCTCCCATCTCTCTCCCACCTGGCTTTGAGCCCATCAGAGAGGGCCACACCTGGCCAACTCCGCACTGCCCGTCTCCCACGTGGCCGACCACTAGCTCAGCAGAATATCTGCGAGCAGGGAAGCACAATCCGTGCTCCCGACTAAGCACCTCTGAAACACCCACCAGAGAAAAAGATGGGAAGGCTCCCCTTTCCTTTTACAAGCGGTCCTTTCCTAATTCTCCAGACGCTTATAAAGGCTTGTGCCATTTCTGGGCCACAGACCTCCAAGAGATGAGTGGTTTGTGCTTGAGGGCAGAATGGAGACGAGAAACCTTCAACCAGTTTAGCAAGTTTCCTTTGGCTTTTCAGAGCAGCACGTCAGCCCCAGCGGGGAGGAGGGTGGGCTGTTACCTGCGGGAGGTGGACGGGACCCGGTGGTGGTCGGTGCCGGACTCCTTCACAAGGTTTCCTTTGCAGCATATGACCCTTAATTTATCCTGATACGAGGAGGCCAGGTAAATCGCTCCTGAGGAAATCGCAGGGCCCAGGTAGCGTGGGTTCGGGATTTCCAGATACGCTCGGGCAGGGGTCCTACAGAGTTCCAGACAAGAGTTGGCAGTCACTGGGGAGTGGTTAGGAAGAAACACCTGCCCCTCCCTGGCACCCTGCCCCCACCCCTGAAGATGGAGTTCTCAGAGCACAGAGGTGTGGTGCTTACCCCAGCGAGGAGCGTGCCTGGATTTCAATGACTTCCAGTGAGTTGAAGTGGGTCACAAACAGATAGGGTTCTCTGTAGGCTGCGTGGCCACCGGGCACCGTGGAGGAGGAGCAAAGGCAGAGGAGGGTTCAAAGAGGGAAAATTAAAGCCTGGCTGTGAGGTCCCCTTTGATCTAGCACTCCCCCCCGCAGGACTCTTTCCTCCAAGCGCTTTACACACACACCCCTACATATACATACACAATGAAATTTTATAAAGGTGGGGATAAGAATATATATTTTATGAGATTATTTGCAAAAAGCACTGGAAATATAAGTGATTCAAATTTTTCTTCCTTTAGTGGAGTACAGAGAAAGAATATAGCAAATGGGAAACATGGGAGACTTCTCATGGTATACTGTTAAACTAATTGTATACATTGTCAAAAATTTAAAAAGATTGCACTTAGCTAATTAGATATTTCTGGTCTTAATATTCTCTCTCTATATTAAGTCACTCATCTCTCTGTATAGTACCACTGAAACTGTAGAGGATATAATGGCACTGTTGATTCTCACCATTATTCCTTGGGGCAAACCATTATGTGGGTGTAGACTCTCAGTCATGCTTCCCAGGACTCAAATCCCCACGCAGTTCCCTTGCCGTGAATACGCACCCACCCTGTGGCCCCTTGAACCAGAATGTGGAGGCGGTGCCAAAGCTGCCAGCCTGTAAGTCCATACTCTTTGAGGAGGCCTCCAGCCACCAGCCCCAGCGGAAGTCCCTACTCTGTGTGTGTGAGACTGTCAACAACACGTGGAGCACAGGTGTCCAACCAGACCACAGACTCATGAGCAACGACAAGGTGCTGTTTTAGGTCACTAAGTTTAGGAATGGCATATCATGCAGTAATATATAAATAAAATGGCCTTAAAGGGTATTTCAGCCAAATGATATTCCAGAAAACTCACACAAGTTGTGTGTGTGCATATTTGCACGTATGCGGGTATTTACTCTTGGACTCAGAAACTCTACTTTTAGGGACCAGTCATCTGGAGATACTATTTGATAAGTGTACAAATATTTGTTCAATGATGTTCATTACAGCGTTGTTGACGCTTATAAAGGTATGGACGTGGCTTAACCACTCTGCCTAATTAGAACTGGTTATGTTGGCAGGTATTTGGCTATACTGTGGGACACTACATAGTGTTTGGAAATGATTTAAATAAGTCCACAGCAAATGGTCTTCTTTCTATGATGAGAGCTTAACAAATATTTTCCAAGGCTGAACTGTGGCCTGGTGGAGCTGGCTTAGGCAATTCTTCAGTAAGCCTCAGAATCTTCTGTCATGTACATTCACTTAGGTGACTGTTATACATGGCGCCCAGTGTCTGATGAAATGCATGACACAGTACTTAAGGCAAAAAGAATTCCACCTGCAACTCTTTCCCATAACACAGGCTCTGGCAAAAGAGGAGCCCCCACACCATGCATCACGCACCAAAGGCCAAGGGTAAGCGGCTCCACTTGAGATCATCTGTGCGGCTACGTCTTCCGTAAGAATCCACGAACACCCCAAATTCTGCAAGGCATCAAGAGATGGGGCTTCAGCATCAGAGGAGTGGAGGGCATTGGGGACACACACCATGACACAAGAATGAGGACAGATCCCAGGGACAACTGGCCAGATTTAACTGAATCAATAAAACCTGAAGACCTGCTGACCATCTCCTTGTTTTATTTAAAATGATGATATAGTATTTATTTTATTAAAGAAAGAGGGATCAAACAAAAGGGAGGTGAATGTAGGAAAAGAAAGGGTGGGGGGAAAGTGGAAGAGACAGGAAGGGGGTACAGAGATCAAGGAGGCAGAGACCCAGGGACGGGGGGACCCAGATTTTTTAATATTTTTAAAAAGTAAAGAAAATATCAACAGAGAGAGGGGAAGGGAGAAAAGGAGGGAGGGAGGAAGACAGGCCAGCCAGAGGACGAGAAAGGAAAGAGAGCAAGCAAGTGAGGGACAGAGAAGGAAAGATGGGGCTGCTCTGTGCGGAGGATGGGAGGGGGTGTGCCTGGTGGGCAGTAGGAGCCCAGAGGCCTCAGGTGCTGGACCAACACCTCCGTACTCTCAGCAGGCCCTGCCCCAGGTCCCCACGGCCTGGCCCCGGCCTGGCTCCCAGCCCCACAGGAGCAAGCAGGACGCACCGTGGAAGCACAGCAGGTACTCCTCTCGCTGCCCTGCCCCGTTCACCTGCACGATGGAGACGGGGAAGCTGTTGGAAGAGGAAGCAAACACAGCAGGCGCCAAGGAGTGGTCGTTCTTGTCCAGGAATTCTGTAAAGGCAGGTGGGAGGTGGGCTTCAGGAGGGCTTTCTGACCCTACAAGGCCCAGGCCACGCAGCGGGTGGCGAGGGGACACCAGCCCTACCCTCTAGCGTGTACTGCTTCATGTCGATTTCGTAGAATTTGTTGGTTCCGATGAGGATACTATAATTGGTGAAGTAGATGCAGCTGCAGGGCTCTGAGGTCTCGATCTCCTGAGACAGAGGGCAGAGAAGGACAGGAGATGACACAGGACAGCTGGCTCCTCTGCTCTTCTGTTTCTGCCTGAAGCATCTAGCCACGCTTTGTAGGTAGTCGCTGCCAGAACTGCGACACTGTCACCCTTCACGCCTCTCAGGACAGCCCGCAGTCCCTCTGCTACCCTTTTCCTGATACTCTACACAACACCAGGCTTTTTTGGAAAAGAAAGCCAATTGCAGACAAAAGGCGGGGCAGGGCCAGAAGTGCTATTTCAATGAAAAGGTAGAATTTTAACAATTCGTTCTTATTGGAGAGAAAACTGGAAAACTACACAACTATTAACAGGGGTGGTGAGGAATGGTCTCCTTCCTTTTGCTGGCTTCTAAGTTTCTTTTTTTTCTTAATATTTTTTTTAGTTGCCAATGGATCATTTATTTTATTTATACGTGTGTGATGCTGAAGATCAAACCCAGGGTCTCACACATGCCAGGCAAGGGCTCTACCACCGAGCCATAACTCCAGCCCCGGCTTCTAAGTTTCTAACAGAAACCTCTATTACGTAGTACTTACTGTCTTCATAATCACTGCATTCCTACCTTAATTGTCCACTTGCTCATTATTTATATTTGTTTTTAGGCCAATCCTGTGGTCAAAACACCAGGGGTCTAATCGGTGGCTAGGAATCATAAAGCAGTAATGAGTTGTGACAATTTTCCTCAACTTACGGTTGGAACTCCCGCCAGCACTATCATCACCACTGACTATGGACTGGCCACCTACCAGGGATGAGGGAAGGGGAAACTGAAACAGTATGATACTAGGGAAAGACTAGGGAAACTGAACTTCAGATGTGGTCTTGACTTTGTAGCCTAGGTTGTCTCCCAGCTCCAACTGTCCTACCTGAACACTGGAGAACTGTCCTGCAAACTGTGGATGGCCAGCTTAGTCCCTGGTGCCAATGGGCGCTCAATAAACCCACAGACTAAACTATCAACCACAGCTATGAGTGGCTCTGGGCTCTTCCAGAAGGGAAGGGTCTCACTCTCTAGGGAGGTGACCCCAGGCTGAATGGTGGCAGAATAGAAGGGGCACACGCTGCTCCCTGACACAAACACTCCACGCGGGATCCTTGGGAGAACAGGATGGCAGGGCTGTGACTCACCTTCCGAATGCAGTACTTGCTGAGGTTTTCGTTGTAGCGGAGGATGACGACTTTGTTGGGCATGGCTGCACAGATACAGAGCCCATTCTCAATCTGCAAAACCAAAGGGAAAAGAGAGAAAGAAAGAGTCACCCATGGGCACCCTGGCTCTGGAGCAAAACTAGGTGAGGAACACCAGTTTGGAGCAGGATCTCTCCACCTCAGACCTACTGACAATCTGGACCAGTTTGTTCTTTGGTGTGGTGGTGGGGCAGAGGGGTGTCCTGCATATTGCAGGATGATGGGCAGCATCAGGGTCTGGACCTATGAGATGACTATAGCACCCTCCAGTTGTGACAATCAAAAATGTCTTCAGATGTTATCAAATGTCTGCTGGTTGAAACACCACTGTAGCTGGGATCCAGGGAAGGCCTCAGGATCCACCTGATAGCACCCACGTTTTGCACACATGTGCCTTTAGCTAGAGACAGATTCTTCTGACAACCTTCCCCTGGGAGAAGGGGGCAGGACAGGATAAGGGAAAGGAGAGGAAAGGTAATAGAAATTGCTACAGGAATTTTAAGACAATTCCAGTATAAATGAAAATGCTCTTAGCTTAGGCCTGTACCTACAGATTCCACATCAAAACTCCCTTTTTCTAGAGTTGAATCCCTCTTTTTCACCCCCCCTACAACCAGATCTTTGCCATTCATCAAGGGTGAAAAGATACTTATTGTTCAAATTGTCCTGAAATGAAGGTCAGCAATTGGGCAGGAAAGGAGAGGAATAGAGGAGGAACAGTTCTATTTCTTGGTTTGGATAGCAGGTTCAGGGGTGTTTATTACATCACTTGGCTTTATCACTTACAGGTTTATGTCTCATACTTTTTTTAGTATTTAAAAAATAAAAATAATTTGTAATTTTAAAATATGAAAACTTGGAAACTAAAATGCACATTTCTAAGTAACTCATCATTCACAGGAGAAATTTTTAAACATGTAGAACAATTATAACAAGTTATAATATCAAAATTTATAGGGCACAACTGAACTAGTAGTTAGAAGGAAATGTGTGGCCCTAAAATGGTTATATTAGAAAAATACCCTGAAAAGTTAATAAGTTTAAATTATATTAGAACAAAGCATAATGGAAGAAAGCCAGGAAAGCTAAAGGAAGAAAAAACAAAGACAAAGGCAAAAATTAATGACCAATGAAGCAATGCCACGCCAGAAGCACTTGTTCAATAAAACCCAAAGTGTCCTCTGTTTACAGTTAGTACAAATGAAATCAAAGACGGAGCATCAGTAACCTCAGGGAAGGAAAAGGTCCCCTCCCTGTCTAGTCCTGCAGCCCTAGGGCAGAGGTCTTGGAGGTCACACACAGAGGGGTTTTCTCAGTCAATGCCATCTGAGTAGCCTTCTGAGCAATGACCAGCAAGCTATTTCTGGAGCGAGGGAAGTGGCTTGCTCCAGACTTCACTAGAGTTGTATGTGTAGGTCTGTATATGTCCATAAATGCTCTTCACTTTTAATAAAAAAAAAAATTTTTATTTTTTGTGATGCTGGGAATTGAACCCACATCCTCACACGTTAGGCAGGTGCTCTACAGCCCCAGACCATGATAAAACATATTTAAAGGAGAAGGCAAACAAACGTGTTTATGTGCAAAATTTCAATATACGAGAAATCACAAGAGAATCCCTTGAGTGCTGGTGAGCGGCTCCATGGCATGCTTGGTCCTCGGCATCCACAGGCTCCACAGCCGCACGTTCAACTGACACAGACTGAAAATATTCAGCAGGAAAAAACCTGCCTCTGTACCAAAAATCATTATTCCCTAAACAATACAGAATAACTACTTAGATAGCATTTATATTGAATTATGTATTATAAATAATCTAGAGTTGATTTCATGAACGTGGGAAAATGTACACAGGTCACATACAAAGGTACAAACACTACCATCCTACAGGGTACAAAGGACTTAAGTGTCCTTGGATTTTGGTATGTTGTTGGGGGGTGGTTCTGGAACCAATCCCCCTCAGATACTGAGGAATGACTGTCTAAACGTCGTAAGTTAGAATCTGTAAATCTCTAGAATCTGTAAATCTCTGTAAATCTGTAAATCTCAATTTATTAATTGTCTTTCCATCCAGATCAGACATGGGGTTCTATGTTAGGATTTTTTTTTCTTAAAAAAAAAAAAAATGCTCATCACACATACACACTTCTAAAATTACGGATCAACCTTTTAGTTTTGCTCATCTTATTCTTGTGTTTCTTTCCAGTTCAAAACCTGTGCAAATTTCAAGGCTACCCAGATCATTTCGCAGGCCCAAAGGAAGCAACAGCAATTCAAACCAGTCTGAGGGATGCTTGACTTTCAAGGTCAGGTCAAGGAGCTATTGGCGACTTCAAGGACATTGGACATTCCACCAGTGGAGGCCTGAGAAGCACTAACCTTGCCAGCAGCAAACAAGTGGCAGCCCTTCACAGCTTCGAAGATGTTGGGCGAGATGTCTGGCTGGGCGGGAAGGTGCGACTGCGCCAGGGACTGCTTCACTTTCTTCACGTCCACCAGACACAGGGCCCGCTCTTCTCCTGAGGGGAAAGGAGCAGCCTCCGTCAGCATGAAGGGAGTAGTGAAGACAGGGAGGGAGGCCCAGTCTAGTTCCAAATAGAAGCTACTGAGATTTCCATACACCCCTCTACACTGAGCACCCCTTATCTGAATTGCTTGAGATCACAAGTGCCTCAGATTTCAGATTTTGGAATATTTATATAAACATAATGAGATCACTTGGGGGTGGGACTCAAGTCTAGATACAAAATTATTTTGTTTCATATATGCTTTATATACATGGCTGCAAGATGATTTTATGACATACTTTAAGAGCTTCTGCAATTTGACAATGACTTGTCTATCATGTGAGGGCAGTTGGAATTGTTGACCTGTAGTACCTCATTAGCACTCAAAATGGCTCGGGTTTTCAAATTAGGGATGCTCACTATTTTAGATCTCAGATGGAAACATTTGGCCTTTTAGTCCAGATTCTAAGGGGGGAAATTCTGCAGACATAAAATTGGAGGAAGAACTGAACTTTTAAACATATTCCTGGGTAAAGAAAGAATGTCTGGGAGCAACAAGGAGAAGAAATTCTATAAAACAACAGGCTTTGACTATGCAAATACGTCAATGTCAAGAAAGACAAATGGAAGGATGGGAACCGTTCCAGATAAAGACAGGATTAAGCGCAACCTTGGCTTGAACCATGAGTTGAGGGGAAGACACTATAAAAAACATTACTGGGCCCCAGGTAAAATCGGACTGTGGGCAATGTATCAGACTATTGTATTATGGCAAGGGTAAAATTTCCTGAAGGCAAAAAAAAAATCATACCATGTGAAACTTTCCCACATGCACATACCAGCATAAGTTTGCCAAAACCCAGAGAAAGTGGAACACCAAGGGTGAAGCCAACAGACACTGTGGGCTTTGGGCAATGACAAAGTGCCCGTGCAGGTTCCTCAACAGCAACCAACGTACCAGGCGGTGTGGACGCTGATGATGCGGGGGGCTGGGGAGTGGGAGGGGGCTGCATGCCAATCTCTGTACCTTCCTCTCGGTTTTGCTGTGAACCTACAACTACTCAACCGTATAATCAGGAAGGAAAACAGGAATGGAGGAAGGCAACAGGCCGGGAGGAAAGGGACAGCACAGAGCCACCATTCCAGGAGTACCAGTCTCTGGCCACGTCACTTCAGTCTGTGGACCCAGCCACACCTAAAACATGTTTTGAATGCTGAGTCAATAATACTGTTTTTCCTTTAAAAAAAAAATTTGCCAACAAAGGAAAAAAAAAAAAAAATTGTGCCATGGTCATGTGAAAGAATGCCCTTGCTCGTAGGATACCCGCACATGGAGGAAGAAAGGAAACTAACAAAATGTTAGCAAGTGGAAACCAGGTGCAGAGGCACATCCCTGTGATCCCAGCAACTCGGGAGGCTGAGGCAAGAGGACAGCAAGTTCAAGTCAGCCCCAGCAACTTTGCAAGATTCTCTGAAATACACTGCCTCAAAATTTAAAAAATAAAATAAAAAAGGACTGGGGAGGTAGCTCAGTGGTAAAACACCCCTGGGTTCAGTCCTCAGTACCAAAAAAAATGTGAGCCCATGGTGAATCTAGATGACATAAGAAAGATCAGGAAGTAATCACACAGAGACTGTGAGAGCAGGAAACTCTAGGAAGGCCAAGGCCCACAGTGCTGCTGATCCAATCAGGACAAGGAATTTGACTTTGATGAATCTTTGAGGCTTGGCACTCGCCATGGTTTAGATATGCTCTGGGGAGCCCCAAGAGTCCATGTGATTGGAGTCTTGGTCCCCAGGGTAGCACTGGTGGGAAGTGCTATGGAATCTTTAAGTGGTGAGACCCAGTGGAAGGTCCTGGGGTCCCTGGAGACATGCTCTCAGAATGGAGTTCTCGTGAGACCCCTTGAGTGCTGGAGAGGGATATTATAGAGGAAGCAAGTCTGGCCCCACCCAGCTCTCCTGTGTGGAGTCTGCTTGCTCCTGAAGCCCTCCCACCATGCTCTCTACCCATGAGGTAATGCAGCCAAGGGTTGGCCTCATCCAGTCAGCGCTGTACTGTTTGGACTTTGAACTTCCAGAACTACAAGCTAGATAAACCTCTTTTCTTCATTAACAGCATGTCTCAGGTGATTCATTATAGTAATGAAAAGCTGACTAACCTAAGCATTCTTCACTATAGGCATAATGGTCAGATGTTCTTTGCAGGTGTCAGACTATGCTCAACTGAACACCAAAAGGGAACCAAACGTGGACAAAAAGGGCCCGTCAGCCGAGGCTTGGCATCCCTCAGGAGGAAAGAGCCACTGCTGCTCCAGCCTTCCACCAGGACAGCCTGCTTTATGCCTCACAAGCCTGAAACCTAGCTCTTAAGTTGTTTCCCTTAAAAGGAAAGGAAAGAGCTGTGCCTTGGCCTCACACCTGCTATCATGAGTAGCTTCTCCAGGTCCTTGATGATATAAATTTGGAAGACTGCTCCAATTCCTGGCACATGGGTTAAGGAGTTTTTCAAGACATTCAGTGCATACAGCCCTTCCTCGGTGCCCACCAACACCACCTGTAAGGACAGAAGTCCAAAGTTAAGGACAGAAGTCCAAAGTAAAGCACAGTCACGTCACCATGACGTGAAAAAAAAGCAGAAGAGCCACAAAGCCTACACAGTCCTCCCTTTCTCGACGGTGTGTGGCTGTAGCCATACACTGGCTGACAGTGCCCAGAAAATATGTTACCTGGTCACTGAAGGGCAGTGTGCAGTTCATGTCCAGCCGGTCATCACCTTCCAGTTTCAGCAGGGAGTTTCCAAGCAATTTCTTTTCATATGTGAAAGGAAAGATGAAACGAAAAAGAGAAGCTTAAAGTCAAACTCAGAAAATACATTTTCTCCTAGCTCCCCACCCCCTTTTTTGTTGTTGTTGGGTTTTGGCACTGGGGATAGCACCCAGGGCCTGTGTAGGTTAGGCAAGCACTCCACCACAGAGCTACGCCCCCAGCCTCTTGCCCAGTAATTCTATCTGAGCTCCAAAGGCAAGATGTAGATATTATGGGTTTCTCTGGGGCGGTTGTTAATTAGCATCAGAGTCATAACTTGGCTTGGACACAGAAGTGAGTGTGTAGACACAGAGCTGCTCTGGAATAGGAAATAGCTGAAGCTACACAGATTTCACCTGCAAAGGATTAGCAAGCCACATGGACGGCTCCTGCTGCCCCCACCCCCAAGGCTGCAGCAAAAGTGCAAGGCACAGTGGGGTCAGCAGCAAACCAACAGCCTCTGAATCTCTTTACCTGAACCCACGCTGTCAGAAGCTCGTAGAAAACCCAGCCACGGGCCTATTGTACACATATCAACGTGGATCTCAGTAAAAGGCTCACGTGTGAGATACAGAACATTCACAAAAACAGGCCTGCCCAGCGAGCACAGCTCTTTCCAGGAGGCTCATGGTTAAGAATTTTCCAACTGCAAACCCTTAAAGTGTTTATTAGGAGCTAAGTGTCTGAAAAGAGCTGTTGGGTCTTGAGTGGAGCAAACGCCAATGAGCAATGAGCACTGTTTGCACCTTCGAACGTTCTGGGGGGAGTGATGCCAATCAAGGAACACCCACGTTCCTAACATCTGAAGGATAAGTAGGACTTCAAACCCGCCCACAGAAGAGCAAATACTGCAGGAGCAACCAGGAAGGTTGGGAAGAGCCTCCCTGAAGTCGACGTGGCTGTGGCAGCCCGCTGTGCTGATTCATGGCCAAGTGCTTGTAACTCAAGCCTTTAAGCCAAAGAACTCTTCAGAGTAAACAGCAGAGCAGATGCCCTTGAGGGAGCACAGGTGGCTGTACTGCTGTCACACGCTCCCTCAGACCCCAAGAGCAGGCTAGCCACTGCCTCCCCTTTCCTCAGAGTTGCCTCAGAGGGCTTGAGATGCTCCATTCCCGCCTTGGAGTTTCACCTCATTGCCACAGAACTCCTGGTCATCACTGTCTAGTGCTGTCACCCCCCAGAGGGCAGCCCAAGGGACACCAGGACAACCCAGGGGACCCCAAGCTAAGTTACCGAACTCCGCCCCCGGGCATACTCACGGCATCGGCTTCTGCCTTCTCCCTAGAAACTCTCCCACCTGCGACAACTGATTCTAAGGCGGTGACCCAGCGCTGTTTGTCAGGAAAGCTGGGAGCTAACAGGTAGAGGGTCCTCCCGGGCCAGCACGTGGTGTGCGGGTGAGATTCCATCTTCAGTATGTATGGGACATCTAGGAGATTCCACAGAGAGCACAGGATTGGGTGTGGACTTCCCCCATTCTCACTGACAGGGATGGCCCTGAGATACAAGACAGCCCACCAAACCACACGGTCCCCGTCACCACGAAGCCAGGGGAGCCAGAGAAGGTGGGCTTCCTTGGCAGAGCCAACCCTCATGTTCCCCTCCAGCCCCGGCTGATCTGCCACGCCCGGCCCACCTGCCCTCACCTGCTTTGGCTGTATTTGCGAGTTCGGAAGCACCAACGGCACCATGAATAGATACATCCCCGTCGGGAAGGCACAGCTCAAATTCTTCCACCGGCCTCTGTCCAGCTTGGTGCAAAGAGGAAGGGGCAGAAAGAAAAACAAAAGAACAGGCACAAGAACGAGGGGAGAAGAGCAGAGCAGAGAGAGAGGGGGACAGAGACAGGGGACGCGTGTAGAGAGAGGCGCACGAGAACAAAGAAGGGAAAGAGGTGTGCAGAGAGGGAAGATAAAAAAAAAAATAAAGTGTGTCAGATGAGTGGCACAGTCAAATTTCTGATGACGATGCGGATTTATGGGTTAGTTGGCTGAGGCGGAAGTTCTCTGAGGCATTAGCAGGTGGAATCTTCAGGGCAGCACCCTGCGGGCTCTCCGGGGGGGAGACCTATAGATGTGAGTATCGCACCAATAACCTTTAGAGAAGTCATTTGGCTTTTAATTTTCAAAAATGGGAGAGCGTAGAAGGCTCGCGAGGCAGTCCAAACAACGCCTTCACGCCAACGCTGGGAGACCTGGGTTAGCCACGTGCAGTGCAGTTCCCCCTGAATTATTAATTTACCTTCTCTGGCTTCATTGTCATAAATGAGGACTTTGGATCCCTCCAGGACAATGTACTTCCTGTCCCAGCCCTGCTGTCCTCGTTTGTTATTCCTGGGAAAAGAAAATTGGGAAAGGAAAATGCTGGAACTCAGAAGAATCAGTCTGAAGGACCCAGGGGAGGGGACCCTCGAAAAGGCATCAGCCCGTGGCCTTCAGCACCAACACCTGGGGACCCCAAGCCACCCTGCAACAATACCTGGGCACTTTCATCCACCCTTCCAGGTGCAGGCTGCTGCTGGGGTCCTTGGTCTGCAGACCCGGGGAGTTCATTTTGTCACGGCAGAAGGCCTCGGTGAAGTGTGTGGCGTATTCGGCGGGCAGGCCGCAGGTGGCTGGCAAGCACGTGGAGCACTTGGGGTGACACATCACCTGACATTCTAGGGGAGAGCAGTGAACACCCTGAAAACACGCTCTCTGGGCTCAGAGTGTGGCCTTCCAGCCGAGCCTGGGGAGTCTCACACCCAAGCAGTTACTGTATACAGGCCCAGCAACCAGCTCGTCCTTAAGGCTTCCCAAGGGCAGGGCCTCCGCAGAGGCAGGAAACAAGACAGCCACATGCTCCCAACCCAGTTTCCCTGGCTTCGATACAGGCTGCCCACAAACAGGTGCGCAAAGGATGTGTCTGTATGGTTCTGTGGGAGAAGACAGGGAGAAGCCATCCTGGCAAAACAGCTGGACACCGACAGAGATGAGGGCACTGCACAGCCTGAGCTGCAGCCAGGAGTATAGGATCATTGCTTCAATGGGGTAAAAATAGTGTCCTCCCACTAAAATGAAGAGCTTAGCTACAAATGCATCTCACGATGAGGAACTTAGGAAAACATGGCCTCCATCTGATGGGTTCCTCAGATGGAGAAACAGGGCCCACCACAGACGCACCACCACTTCTCTTACCGAGACATTTGGATGCCTGACGTCCGAAGTGTACAGTATCCAGACACACAGCACACTTTGTGGCTCGCATGTTCAGTCCTACGTTAAATCGGTGAGGAATATTGTGGTGCATGCGCTCCTTAAGACGCCGGCTATATTCTGAAAGGGGGAAAAAAATTAAATCATCAGAGTACTGCAAATGAAAGTGAGGAGTCACCCACAAAATGAGGGGAAAATATTTGCAAATCATATCTGATTATGAACTTGTGTCTAGAATACATAAAGAACTCTCACAACTCAGTAATAAAAAGACAGCTCAATTAAAAAGTGGGTCAAGGATTTGAATAGATATCTCCCCAAAGTGGATAAATAAATGGCCAATAGGCACATGAAAAGATGCTCAACATCACAGCCATTAGGGAAATGCAAATCAAAACCACAATGCAATGCCACTTCACCACCACTAAGGACATCTAGGACCCAGAAATGGAAAAACAAGAGTTGGTGAGAATGTGGAAAAATTGGAGCCCTTGTACTTGGCCAGGGGGAAAGTGAAATGGTGCAGCCACTTTGGACCTGAGCCTGGCAGATCCTCAGCAAGCTAAACAAAGTTACCGTCTGACCCAGCAAGTCCTCTCCCAGATACACACCCAAGAGAACTGAAAACACTTATCCACACCAGCATGATTTATGCCAGGAAAAAAGTACAGATGATCCAAAAGCCCATTGATGATCATTCCCTGTGCCAAGGAATACCATGCATACAGTCATAAAAGGAAACTGCGTACTGACACCTGCTACAAGGCGGGTGAACTTCAAATACATCACACTCGTGGAAGGAGCCAGACACAAAAGGCCACGCATGGTATGATCCCACTGATAGGAACCCAGAGGAGCAAATCCAGAGATAGAAAGCAGATCTTACTGAAAAACACTGAACTGTACAATTTAAATGGATGAATTTTATCATATGTGAATTATCTTTAAATAAAACAGTTTTGTTTTTAAAAAAAAAAAAAACATTAGAGTAGGTTAGTTGCAGCCTATGAAAGTATTCTGACACAAACAGATGCATCTAAATTTTTATGAATCAACTTCAAGTACCCACCACCTGTTATTAAGTTGTTTGTTTTAGTATTAGGTGTTGAACCCAGGGGTGCCTAACCACGGAGCCACATCCCCAGCCCTTTTTTGTATTTTATTTAGAGACAGGGTCTCACTGAGCTGCTTAGGGTCTCAGTAAGTTGTTGAGGCTGATTTTGAACTCAAAATCCTCCTGCCTTAGCTTCCTGAGCTACTGGGATTATAGGCATGTGCCACTGCACCCAGCAGGAATTGGGTTTTATTTCCTAGTAGATTGATCATCCTATAGTATATGTTTGGGGTCATAAAGAAAACAAGCTTTAAAATTAATTGTAAATATTTTAGTCATAAAGGCTTTGCTTTTCAGATGAAATCATATATCTAGAGCTTTTCAAAATCCAATTTAAAGGGGTAAGGAGAATGGAAAGAAACCCCAGGGAATGACATTGGCCAAATTATATTGTCATGTTGTTTGAATGTGTGAATGTGCAACAATGAAGCTCACCATCACACACAACTATAATGCACCAATAAACATACGGGAGAAAAATCCCATTTAAAAGTAATTATTATGAACTAAAGAATCTCTCAATTTTATGTATATGTACTGACTGAAGAATTCTCTATGTATGTCCAGTTTTTCCATGAATGATCTCCTTTTGTTCATAAATCAACTTTTTAGTCTCAAAGAACTGATTCTTACATCTATGCTGTAAGGCCAACCCTTCACCCCCAGTTTAACCGGTTTCCTCTCAATGGTGACTTAATTAGAGGCAACTTTAGATAGAAAAGCTCTGGACATGTCCCTCTGAATGGTCGGCTCTCTTCCTTTCCTTCGTGAGGAAGGATAACAGCAATGCACTGTGAGCTGGAAGGCGCAGCCCGAGAAGGAGAAGCGTTCACACCTCCCAGGAGGCTGCTCTCCGATGCTCGTCAGTGAGCACCACAGCCAGGAACCACGCTTTCCTCTAGGTTCCCAACACCATCTGGATGACTTCTAGAGCAAAGCTCTTTGACTCAAGGTGTTATGTAAACATAGGAAGAGACCACCTCATGGTGGAAAAGAAACAAGAGCAATAGTGAAATGCCGTGGAGACTCACAGCCCCAGCGGCTTTGATGGTGACGTCATGATGCTAAGCCACGGTTCTGCTCTGTTTTCCCCAAGCCTTTCCAAACCACTCTCCTTGGCCTTTGTAGAAGTCCTTTCCATCTCAAGGTGAACAGAGTATCCTTAGGAACACAAACAAAACTCCTTACCCTGTCAATAGCTAAATAAACTGCCACAAACTATCTACACTTGAAATGTACAAAACCTTTAACCCAATGACTCATTTCCCAACAGTTTATTCCACAGCCACAACACCTACAGAAGTACAGGCTGTTCTCTGCAGCGTGTCTGTGGTTATAGGGAAACAATCTAAGTGCCCAACAGCAGGGGTCTGGTTTAATAGGTGAATCGTATACCCATACCATCTGGGTAGTCCTCTGAAAGCATGAAGTAAGTCCCTGTGTTCTGATGTGTGTCTAACATTTATCTGAAAGGCGTCTTGCAGTGTACGGTATAGTGTGCTATGATATTTATTTACAAGCTGAGAAAAATAGGCTTATTTTCTCACATTCTTTAAATCTGTTCATATAAGATACATGAATTAATAACATGGCTACATTCATGAACTCTGGCTAAAGAACTTGATGAGTGAAAACATCTGACGACTCTGGGTTAAGGGATCTGTCAGGGGAGGGAAAACTCACATTTCACTCTTTATTCCTTAGAATTACTTGTAATTTTTACCATATGACTGCAATTCTTGGAAGGTTAAAAAAAATTCTACATAACTCCAACAGGCCCATAAGAATGGATATGGTCTGAATGAGTCCCCCAAAAGTTCTTGCATTGGAAATTTAATCCTCAAATTCATATGAAGATAGGATTTGAAGAGGGGCCATTGGAAAATCATTAGGGTTAGTGGAGGTGAAGCTAGAGCTCCCACAGTGGCATTCCTTTATACAAAGAGGAAGAGAAACCTGAGCTAGCTCACTTGCTCCATCCTGCCACCACATTATAATGCGGCAGGAAGGCCCTCACCAGATACTGGAGGCACGCTCTTGGTCTTCCCAGCCTCCAGAACTATGAGCCAAATAAACTTCTTTTCTTGACTACCCAGTATCAGGTATTTTGTTATAGCAACAGAAAACAGACTAAGATAAGAATATACCTTCTGGGGTTGAAGACTCCTTTCTGCGGCTAGACGGTGGGGCAAGCAGGCTCATGGCACTGGGCTGGTGCTCAGGTGACCGCACAATGGCGGACATGGCAATCTGCTGCCTCGCTGTGGCTGGAGTAGAAGGATGTGGGTGGTCTGTGGCTTTGCGGTGGGCAGCTGTTGAGAGACCAGTGTGATTTTGGGTTAGCAGAGTTATCAAGAGGACCAGATTAGGCAGACTGCCCCTGGGCTGTCTTTCAAGGCCCCAAGACCAAATGGATATAAGTCATACCAATTTGGGAACATAGAGGAGGCTATAATTTTTTAGACTTGGGGTGTCTGGACTGAAAACTCAGAGGCCATAAACAAAAATGGTGCTTTGACCAATCTCATGGAGCTCAGCCCTCTGCCCCACTCACAGCCTGGAGTGCTTTGTAGATGGAGCCCCTACCTTCCTCCCGGGCAGATCGGAGCTCAATGCGGGTCTTCTGAAGGGCTTCCTCCAGCTCTGCACAGCGAGCTTTTTCCTTCTCCAGGGCCAGCTTCAGCTCATTGTACTGCAGAGGAACCTGTGTGGGTAAAGCAGGGTCCTCTTTCCGTCGACTAAATAAACCCTAGCAATGGAAACAGAGATATCTCCTAACTCCTGGAAACTGGCACTGTGCGCTAGCTAAAGGAAAGCTGACTCGGGAGGAGCAGACCACCAAGGCCAGGAACATACTCACTGTAAGTGTGTTTAGTAAAAATGGCATGTGAAGGGGGAAGGGGTAGGTTGAGCGTCAGCCCATTCCAGCCGGCTGAAAAAAAAGTGAGGTGCGGACGTTTTCGCCAAGAGGGTTAAAGATGCTTGAATTGCCACCACCTCTTCCTTTAGCATTCCCAAGACAGGACAGCCATTTCCTGAGAGTCTTTTCCCCTCAAAAAAATGGAACCAGGAGAGATGGAGTATGGAGCCAGGAGAGATGGTTCAGAGGTCACTCTTGCCTTTGAATTTGTCTCATGATGCTTAGTTACAAGACACAGAGAGGGGTGTTTTTTTGTTTGTTTGTTTTTAAAAGCAAAATTTGATAATGAAGGCTAAAATGATGGTAAAATAAGGGGCTTACTAAAAATGCAAATGGAAACATTTACTGTACACAGAAAAGGAAAACAGAATAATGCAACTGAGACAAAATTAACTTAAAAAATAAGAGATGGAAACACCCTGACTACACCAAGTGACATAACCAGACACCAGTCCACTGCTAAAATAAAAAAGATTAAATATCATAAGCTTAGCAATATATAGTCACATAGTATATGCAAGTTTGAAATCCAACCAGGCAGAGGCTGCTTAGCAGGAGGTAACCTCTGAACGCTGCACTTCCTCGTACAGTAGAGATGGCACCAGGAACACTGGGACCAACCACTGACTTAGTCCTCCAAGCCTTTCTCCTGGATATTCCAAGTCATTAGGCCCTTTTCTATAAAAGCGCTGCCATAGCCACTAGGTTGTACTAAGGCCTTTGGAAGGAAACTGCAAGTTCTTAGAGGCCTGAAACTGTGAACACTTGGCCAAACCTAGTGTGAGGATTTCTGTGTGTTGGGAAAGCCGAGACTGAAGAAGCTACTTTCTGGAGATGGAGGTGTGGCTCAGTAGTAGGGCACTTGCCTACCAGGCCCAAGGCCCTGGGTTTAATACCCAGCACTGAAAAAATAAAATAAAACAACTTATAATGTGTACCTATATATAACCTGCCCATGGTTTGGGTTTTTATCCATAGTTAATTTTAAAAGAATGGTATGGAGAGTATGGCTATCCAGTTGGGCACTCCAAGTCCCAGGGTTCAGTCTCTTCATTAGCTGATCAAAACCACTGGGCCAGATCATTTGTAATTCTTCCTGGAGTCCCATGCAGGTAACCTAAGGACTGATTCAGAGTCCCAGATGTACGACCTACTAATCCCTCTGAATCCCATACATGGGAGCTGCTAATCCTACTATAGTCCTATATAAGGACCTGTGAACCTGTTTAAGCAGGTTTGCATACATGACCTACCTATAAGTCCTTCTCTCTGCAGAGAGGCCCCCACCCCAGCTACTAAGTGGGAGGGGAAAACCACTCCCCTAACACAGAAAGGCCCTACAACTTAAGGGGCCACAAACATCAAGTAAGACTTGATTGATGATATGCTCTGCTAAAGGCTATTCTAATTATCTAAAAACCTATTTTTCAACCCAAAATGAAACAAGACAATACACATTTTTTCTTCTATGTTCCCATGGTTATACATCACAGTGGTATCCACTAAGTCAGGAACCGTGCAGTCAAATTGGCCAACTCCCAGCTGCCGCGCACTTGGACCCACCTTTTTCTTTTTAGCAGGTTGGTCCATTTTGGCTTGCAGAAAATCAATGAGTTTGGTTTGTTGAGAAATAGTGCCTTCCATCTTCACCTTTTCATGAGAGTAGAGAACCTGGAACCATGGCGGGGGGGGGGGGGGAAGATAACCTTAGAGCCAGACAGGAGTGTACTTCCAAATTTGGTACTTTAAGAAAATGAAAAGTAAAGTCGTTAGGACACTGGAAAATCCAACCCAAATAGCATGGGCTGAAATTTATGTGTGTAGTTCCAGTTTTATCAGAATAAAAAAAAAAAAAGATGGAGAGATATATGAGAAAGTAAAAATAAGCAAATGGTTAAGTGTAGGATCCGGGTGGTGGTCACTATGGAAATCTTCCACCATCTCTGAATGTTTGAAAATATTCATAATTAAAGTGTTGGGAAAGGTTCTGTCTCTCTCTCTCTCTCTCTCTCTCTCTCTCTCACACACACACACACACACACATATGCTGTGGGTGGAACCTAGAACATCGAGAGGCTAAGCACCCTCCTGCAGCCCTGCAGAGGGCTCCTCAGCAGATTCCCTCTGTCCACCCTCACCTGAATGTTTTCCAGCTGATACTCCAGATCGCTTCTTTCTGTCTTCAGCAGATCGGCCCTATCCAAAGCTTCTTGCAGCCCTTGAGTCAGACGGAAAATGTGGTTCTTCTGCATGTCCATCTGCTGCTGTAGCTTGGCTTGCTAGTGGGAGAAGGGCCAGAGAAAGACTCGACACCATCCGGAACACTACATGTCCCCCGCTGCTCCTATTCTCAATTAATTTCAGGCATGACACTAGAGGTTCAGCTTTGGAAATCGTGTGCTTCCAGAAATACCACCTGTCTTTATTGTTAAATGACGCGGGCATGGATAAAAAAGAACTTGAAAGAAAATCTCTGATGGCCAAGTCACAAGATCCCCACCATGACAGGAAATCCAGGCTACAGGTCTGCCTTCCCAGTCAGTGATACACTTGAGAATACTTTGATACTTAAGAGCGGACAGCAAAGTCAGCTCCCTGATAGCTAAGTTCCATTTGTCCCTATTTTTTGATCCTTTTAGGATCTTAATGGTCCTTAGGAGAAATCATTGTATGGGCAGTGTAGAATACCTATGGAAGAACTGTATCTACCCCAACTTCATGATCACCATGACTCATACAGGTAATAGCCTCGATCACACTGTGGGGAGAAAGGCAGAGGATCCCAGATACAGTATATAAGTGGTAAAACCCAGGAAAAAAATTCAATTTAATATATTGGAAACAGTTTTGTTCTGAAAAATCTCTCTCCGATTTTTATGTAGAAGTCAACCAGAAAATAGGACAAGTTATAAAGATACTGGTTTTATGGTTCTCTTTCCTAAAATGTGTCTGTTTCTTTCTGAAAATGTGTTCCATCCTGACAAAACTTCAACTAAACCCTGGGTTGTCATCCAACCATACTGCAAGTGACCCAAATAATCTCTTCCCTGGTGGCCTAGACTCTCTGCACACTTAGAGCCAGGAGCTAGGAAAGAGCAATAAACATCACCATGGAGTTTTCAAAAGGTCCATGGCAGATCCCAAAGCCCTCTGTCCCTCTCCCTCTAACTTTATTGCTCTCTGCCTGGTTTTCTTTCCAGTTCTACTGCTTACCTGACCTTCTTCTTGAGAAGGACCTGAGGCATCTGGCTGTAGTCAAAAGAATCTGCACCTTTGGAATCTTTCAGACCCTAGTTTAAATCCTAACTTTAACACTCAACAGCAATATGACCGTGGGCAGGTCCTGCTGCCTCTCAGAGCCTGTTTCTTCATCTGACCGTGGGTAGAACACCTGGCCTCGCTGGATGACACACTGAGCACGGTGCCCAGGGAACAGCAGGTGCCTCATGGATCTCGATGTTTTCCACCTCCTTTGTCTTGCTTTCTTTGCTTCATCCAATTCAGTGCCCTGATCATCTTCCCATCTGCCTTTCCCTACCAATCCTGCCATAAAACAGGAAATACTAACTAAAGATCACCTAGCCTGGGTGTACAACCTGCCTGAAATTTTTTAATACAATTACAGAATCCCCTAAGACACATAAGGAATGAAGGAAGGAAACAACTGAGATGCCCTCTGAAAGGGGGACTCCGTTCCCCACAGCACAGTGACTTCTTCCACAAATTACCCTCTTTAGTCTCTTCCTAGTATTTTAGGACAACACTAATTACTAGGCAGGACCCAGAAAGACAAGTGCTGGAGACAGGGATCTATTTGGTGACAGCCAGGCCCAAAATATTTTTCTAGAATAAATGCATCAACTGTCCATTGGCTTTCCAAGAAATAGGATGGTTATTTACTATAATAAAAACCAAGTCAGAGAGATATTTAGAAATGTTTTTCAAAACCACTTATCTGCTTCCTGGAGAAAGGCAAAAGGAGGTGACTTCCTGGGCCTCAGCCATTGCTTAGACCCACTGACTTTACAGGGGTGACAAGAACCTGGGAGGATGGATGAAGGAGCTGGATGACAGAACCTGAGACATGGAAACCCCAGTGGACAGACAGGAGGGTAGGTGAACAAGCAAGTTCAATAGAATGGTATTTCTTAAAACTTCAATTGAGTAAATATAGAACATAAGGATGTTTTTAAAAAGGAAAAAAAAAAAAAGCTTGTGGAAGTCTAGATGTGATTTTACAGGTCCCTGGATGTCACTGGTGTGATTAAAGAACCCAAGCAATTGGCAGAGAGAGGTTTACAGAAACCAGTATGGAGGGGGAAATATTCCACTAAACAAAGACCTCAGGAACCATATTTGAACCACATGCACTTCCAGAAACTCTCTTTGGAAAGATAGAGCTAGCCAAAAAGATCATTCAGAGCTTGGAGGGATATGAAATGTTTCACTTAGAAAAGAGAAGGCAATCTGGAGTGGGAGAGAGCCTCAGATACTGACTGTAACTGAGATAATAAAAGAAGTCATCTCATAGGACTGTTGATAATACGTGTAAAGTTTTCAGAAGGGGCCCTGGCACCTTGTAAGTGCTAACAAAACATTCATTAAATATTAATTAATTAATTTGATCATTAGTCAATATTAATCTCAATTTTGGTTGGACAGGCCTGACTACTCTCTAATTTCATGTTTTGATATAATAGGACCAGTGGGTGAAAGTTGTAGGTTTTATTTCAGAATAAGAAAGGACTTTCTAAAAATCAGAATTGCTGAAAAATGGGTTGGGATGTCCAAAGTCACTATAGGTATTTTGCCTGAGTTAATGAGGGATGCCCATGAGAAGTGTTGGAAAAGGCAGTGTCTATCTCAGTAGGAGATGAGGATTGGTAACTGGACTTCATCTCTGGCATTACTTCCAATGGGCTGATGGTGGTCTGTAAGAGTCAAGGCAAGAGAGCTTCTAAGGCCATTTCCGGCCCCAGAGGAAAGATGTGGGAGAGAGTTCTATTAGCGAAGTTTGTCCCAGTAAGGCAATAAGGAGACTCATGATGGGAATTTGGATTAGATGACATAAATATTCCTTCTAATTTTGAGACTCTGATTCTGTCCTACTAAAAGTCTCTGTTCCTATGAAGAAGATGTTTAGGTTGGGGCCTTGGGCCCATGGTTACAAAGTGCACTCCGCAACCAGGGATCTCAGCCATGTTTTGGCCAATAAAGATCATTCTCTGTGTGCAAGGCCCTGGGTTTGATGCCCAGCGTTGCCATAAATAAATGAATAGATAACTCATTCTCTATTTCGTAATGGTTTACACTGTCTGAAATTTGACTCAAGCTCAATGTCAGCCAGAAGCCTGTGCTCAAACATCTATCTGTGAGGGACAGACTGGGAGACTGGAAATGTTCTCACATGGGTTAGAAGTGAGAACTGGGGGACTGAGACAGGCTCCCAGCATCCTATTCCTAGCCTTGTCACTGACTCATCATGTCACCTTAGGCCAAAGAACTGAGCTGCTAGGGTCAACCTGCCCTCCTCAGGAAAACAGGACAGTCAGGGGCATCTAGTATTCCTATTTTCTTCCCAGCATGAGCTCAAAGTGGGAATATTGCCTATTGATCCCAGATAAAAGACCAGAACTCTCTATTTGACCCCTAGGTAGAGTTAAAAACTCTAACACAGGTTGAGCATCCCAATTCTAAAAATCCAAAATCTGAAATGCTCCGAAATCCAAAACATTTTGAGCATGAATATGACACTGTTTGTTGAAAATTCTACACCTGATCTCATTGTGCTGAACTGTAATCAAAACACAGGCACATTTTAAAAATTGCATAAAATTCATCAGGCCTGGTGGTGCACACCTGTAATCTTATACACCCGGGAGGCTGAGGCAGGAGGTTCACAATTTCAAGGCCAACTGGGTAACTTAGCAACACCGTGTCACAAAATAAAAAATAAAAGGCCCAGAGCTGTAGCTCAGTGGTGAGCATCCCTGGGTTCAATCCTCAGTATAAAAAAAAAAAAAAAAATTTGCGTAAAATTATTTTCACCTATGTGTGTACAATGTATATGAGTCACAAATGAATTTCATGATTAGACTTGAGTCCTATCTCTATGATAGCTCATTATGCATATATAAAAATATCCCAAAATCTGAAAAAGAATGAATTTCAAAATACTTCTGGGTCCCAGTATTTTGGACAAGAGCTACTCAACCTATATAGTAATATTCTTGGGGTCACTTTCAGTGAATTTCAGTCATACATGTGTGTGTGTAAAACTAATTTTATTTTAAAATTTCTTATTGCAGCGAGGTACACATAATATAAAACTTATATTTTTCTTCCTTTTTTTTTTTGGTCACCCAGGGCCTCCTGCATGGTGGGTCATTGTAGCCATTTGTACACAGGTCAGTAGCATTAAGGACATTCACACTGTTATGCAGTAATTACCAACCATCCATCTGTAGACTTTCTCAAATTCCCACCTTATTTCTCAAGTGTCATTCTATGAGACATTGTATACTCACCTGCAATAGTCTCACTACCCTTTTTAAACTTAACAGCCTAGTGATATTATTCCTATCAGCGGGGCTCAGGAGCTGTGAGCACCATGTGACGACAGGGGATTCTGGGTAACGAAACTGCCAGGCTCACTATGGGTTAAACAGAACACTCTTTGGAGTCCAACTTTTCCTTAGATATCTTTACAAAGTGCATTTGCCCTTGCAGGTCAATTCTAATGAACAAAACAGAATCATTAGTGATTCAACATATAGGGCTTTGGTTGGGAGTGGGAAGTAATCATTAATTTAAATAGCAATTTCCAGAATTCTGTGAAAAGGCACATGAAATAACATAAGGGATGGGGTTAGGAGATCAATTTGAACTTGTCATCTTATGTCTCAAAAGCAGGGCACAATTATTTTTAATTGAATTAAGTGCACATTCAAAAGTCCTCATGAAATTTGGCACTCGGCATAATCTGATCAAATCCCTGCCCTGTGTGGGAAGCTAATTTGCATGGATGTTCTATCAGCATGAAACATAATACACTTTGAATGTTAACTCTAAAGAACAATTTAACTCAATATTCATTCAGCCATGTATTTAATAAACCTCTATTCAGCACGTACTTACTATGTGCTTGACACTCTGTTAAGCACCATGTAGGAGGATACCAGCGACAGGGAGACCCTGCCAGTCAGAGACATATTATTTTAATGTGCTCGATATCTTATAGAATGTATGATGGGACCACCCTACTCTACCTCAAAGGTTCTTACTTCAAAATCTTAAAGTCTGACTTGGATCTGACCACGTGAACATAACAAATTTTCACTTTCTAAATCCCCCCTGGCTCTACCTCCCAGGTAATTTGCACTCACCTCTTCCAGAAGCCTCTGTTTGAGCTCTCGTTCTGTCTCCAGTTTCTGCTGCAGGCTTCGGGCATTCATTTCAAGCATGGCGTGCTTCTTCTCCAGGTCATTGAGCTGGACATTGGGAAAAATTGGCCGTGATGCCACATTTAGGGATGCTAGACACTAACGACTGTCCACAGGCCTTCACATATCAAGTACAATCAAGTTCAAAAAGTCAGAATGTCAGTGGTGTTTTTGAAAACATAGAAGTCCATATAACAGGTAAGTCTCCCATATTGAGGATAGGAATTGTTTCTACGGGATGGGTCACATATATAGCTACTTCGAGTTCTGAGAGGATGACGGTGCAAGAACTTATGGATCTGAAGTTCTTTGGCTGAATTTAATTAAACAGTCCTATGCCAGGAGCTTAATCCTTGCCGAGCATCACAGGTACTAGGATGAAATGTAGTCGAGCACTCTTGAGGATCTCATCAAGTCACATGCCCTGACCATGACGCTTTGCCGTGTGAAAATTGATAAGAGAGGTATAGAAAAGAGAACTTCATCCCAATAAAACAAGACAGAGAAAAGATAATTCTGGAATTTCTGGATTGCTAAAGGACAGCTGGCAACAAAATATTTCAAGAAAAGTCAGTAGGAAAAATAAATCTTCAAGTTAAACATAAAAGGATTCACTTGTCTCTAAATAATACATCTACTTTCCTCACACTTACAAAAAAGAAAGAAAACAAATCAATCTCAGGGAATTCAGGAGCATTCCTGAGCAGGAAGCACCAGCCTTGAATCCAAAATTCTGTTTCTATGAATTTCCAGTAAGGAAATAATCATGAATGCTCATAAAAACTTACGTTCATCAGGTTATTTATATGGCAAAAAAAAAAAAAAAAAAAAAGATTGGAAGAAGCCCAAATTCCCAACACAAGGGGAAATGTATAAATTACATGCCAGCATGCAATTTGATTTTTTCAGGATTGCATGTTCAAAAAAACATTCAGTAACTCAAGAAAAGCTTCTAGTTATACAATGTTTTTTAAAAACAAACAAACCTAAGTTCTAAGTTTACAAAATAAATGTGTGGGTATAGTGTGTGTGTGTGTGTGTGTGTGTGTATGTGTGTGTGTGTGCGCACGTGCGCAAAACATACACAAACAAGATACTGCAAATAAAGTCACCAATGTAACAAGGTAATAGGTTACCAGTCATTTTTCCCTTTACTGTTCTGTGGTTTCTGCATGTTCCAGAATGATCCTAAATAATTACTTTTATAAATGTGGAATAGCAAAGTTATATAAAATACAAAATTCATATTTTTCTCTTTCAAAACTAATAGATAAAATGTCCAAAACATTGGTCCATTGCTCTGCAAATTTCAAGGAATGGTGCATAGACAGAACACAATGTGTTTCCAGTGTGAAATACTAAGGATCACATGTATCATTAGACCCTGCTATGTTTGAATGTGCCCCCCAAAAGTTCTTGCATTGGAGACTCAATCCCCAAATTCACATGTTGATGGTATCTGGAGGTGGGGCCCACGGGAGATAATTGGTATTAGATGAGGTTATAGGGGAAGGGCTCCAGGATAGCATTAAGGGCTTCTTAAGAAGAGAAAGAGACACTGGAGCTAGCACACTTACTCTGCCTCACCATGTGACGTCCTCCCCCATGCTATCATGCAGTGAGAAGGCCCTTACTATGTGCTTGACATTCCCAGCCTGCAGAACTGTGAACCAAACAAACATATATCTATTCTTTACATCTGGCTGCAGGTATTTTGTTAGAATGACAGAATACAGATTCAGATAGGCCCTTTTGTGTCCCTGAACTTGGAAAATGGAGAAGCTGAGCTGTCTATGATTGCAGCAATAGTGAACATTAGTCATTGTCACCATGCTCTTCCCAAGCATGCTCAACATTAAATCCCAAAACTTCTAGAAACAAGATCCCAGAAAACCAAAGAATGGTGCACCCAGACCAAAATTTGGACTCTGGAGCCCAGGCAGGTAGATGTTAAGAAGCCTCTGACCAGCTGTGATAACCCACTTCCTACCACACCCACCTATGCTACTGCCAACCAAAGATGTCCCACAGTGAGTCATAACTGACTTTTTGGAATGAGTGAATGTATACTTATGAAATCTGTTTACCACAGATTGCACTTGAATTTGTGTCAAGCATGCCTTTAAAAGAAGGAAACAAAAATGTTGTCCTAAAAGGCAGAAGGCCCTGGCGCTGACCTTGTCAGAGAGGCTCTCAGCTTTCAGCTTCTGTTCTTTGAGAGCCTGTTGCAGAGCGAGAATCTCAGCCTTGTGCTCCTTCACTGCCAACTCCACCACCTGGCGAGACTCAGTGATCCGCTGGTCAGCTCTTGCCCTGCCAGGAAAACACAGGCCTGCTTTCAGAAGCCCCACCACTGCCCACCTGGAGAAAGGCTGCTGCACCTCTGGTCCTGATGAGCAACTCCACAGGCTGCACCAACCCGAGTCCTTCCTCCAAATTATGTCTTCCTTTCTGGCAGCTTACGGAGCAAAGATCTGACCCACTTCAGATTCTGGGTGAAATAACCCTTGAGAGGCAAAGTTCCTGGAGGACTGACTTTCAAAGGCTGAAGGAAAATCGGCATTTGCAAATGCAACCAGCTGAATAAGGATGTGTAGAGCCTGCCGCTCCCTCCCCACGGGGGTGGACATGGAATGAGTACCCCCTGAAGAACCACTGGGAGACCCCGTTCAATAAAACATTTTCTCTCTTTAAAGCATATGCAGGGGGTAAGTGTTTTGGGTGCTCATTAGGAAACTGAAATCTGAATCTGATGAATGCATGCCTAAATAATCTAAATAATGTTAAAGGACACAAAAGCCAGAAGCAAACTGGAGAAAGTCACTTCCTTACCCCCAGTTAGGTACCACGTTTTCCTGCTTCTACGCTTGGCTTGTACAATCTCCTCCACGGACAAGACTCTCCTTCATTACTCTAGGGACTCAAGTCTTACCTCGTCTTTAAGGATAAACTCAAATGCTGTGTCTTCCATAACCTCTTCCCCAACGTCCCTTCTCCCCCACCCTGTGTCTGAAACAGCAGTATACTCCTCCCCTAGCACACCTCACTCTTTCAGGTGCAAAGAGAATACACAGCTCCCCTCCTCTGCTAGACTCTTAGCCTGTGGAGGACAAGGATTAAGAATTATATTTTACTCACCTCAGTATCCCACTTAATACCAAAAAAGAAAACAAAAAGACAAGAAAAGAAAGAAAGAAAAAGGTAAGACCTCTCACAATTGCCCTGAAAGTAGGCTAAGGCTAGTCTTCCAAGCACAGTCCATAATTACACTTTCCATGTGTGTCTGCGTATTTTTTGATTCTGAGGCTAGATCCGACCCCCAAAATTATCTCTGAAGTACCCTAGAAACAACTCAGATAGGAGCTGGACTTGAGGGTGGGAGGGAAGGGGTCTGTGGGAGAGCAGTGAGAACTTCCACCAAGACGGAAGAAAGCAGGAACAGGGTCTTAAAACAGCAGCCCCTCACCTCAGCAAACACCGTGTACGGGAGGATGTTCAAAACAGAACTACTTCCATTGGTTCCCTTGGAAACTTGAGGGTTTGTGTTTTCTGCCTCCAGCCTTCCCAGCTCAACTGAACTTTGCATATATCATCCCTGCAACACCCTGCACTGAGTGTACTATGGACCAATGCCAAGTGGGAGATACCAACATGAGTAGGATACAGCCTAATTAAGTAGTGGATATTTCTCAGTATAGTTTATCTTTCTTAAGGAATTCAGAGAACCACAGGAAGGTGAGATTCACAGGAAGGCAACATTAGCAGAGCTGTGAAGGGCAACTACAAATCCGCTTCGCAGACACAAAAATCACAGGGCCACTGCTGGCCCACAGTGTCCTCGTGCAACGAGGAAAGGGTTCCTGCTCTTCCAGGTCATTTCCTTCCATCAGTAAGCATTCACAGCATGCCAGTTATGCGAGAACAAACACATTTCTGCCATGAGCTACAAAACTGTCATGGTAACTCTTCAAATCGATGGCATCTTCATTGTAAATGGCCACCCCTGCATCATGCACCTTCTTCCTTTGCAAGAAGGAAACTCCATGCTTGGGGAGATATGGAAACAAACGCTGCTCAAACTCATGATTACCATTTCCTACAACATGGGGTGGGGAGAGGGAGAGGGAAAGGGTGGGAGGGGGAACCCACTCAACTATTCTTGTAGAGTGGTGGTTCTCAACTGGGCGCAATTTCCCCCCAGTCTAAAGGATATTCCTAGGGGTTACTCTGGCTGGATCAGTGTCAGAAAAGCCCAAGCTCATGACTACAGTCTGATATACAGTTTGCATTTCTTCTTTTACAGCCTAAGGTGAGTGGTGTGAATGGGTCAAAAGCCTCTTATGCTGCCATCTTGGAGCAGAACCCAAAGCCAGCCAGCACAGGGGCCACTAAGTTTAAAATCAAAGTGGCTCACACTGGCCTCCCAAAACTTGGAGAAAGGGCTGCTTCTAGCATCTAGTGAGGTTGTGCTCTACAGCCTCCCGTGCAAAGCACAGCTCCCCAACAAAGAATCATCCAACCCAAAATGTCAGCAGTGCCAATGCTGAGAAGCCCTGGCATAAGGGGAAGACTGGCAAGCACACATGACAAGGGTTAAAATGGTGATGGCCTTGCTACATGGTCACAATGATAAGGAAATGATGCACACTGGTAAAAATGATTCTGCAAAGACAGCACTGAGATATTTGCAGTGGCTCCCAGACCTTTGCCAGGGTAAAAAGATACCAGCCACTGTCACAGAATCCAACTGATAGTGTCCAGATTTACTGTCAGGTGACCACCCATCCTGATCTGCCCAAGAGTCTCCTGGTCTTGCAGCCTGGTTCTAGGACCATGGACTCAAAACTCTCAGGAAGACCTAGCCAAAGTCATCTGCCACTGGCTTTCTGCAATCAGGAAGTCCCACCTGCTCTGCTTCTCCGTGTCCAGCATCCTCTGTAACTCTCGAACCCGACACTCAAACTGGGACTTCTCGTCACCAAGGACACTCCTCCAGGCCTCCCACTGGCGCTCCTTCTCCAGCAGCTCATCATTCAGGGCCTCCAAATCCATGACCTGCTCCTCCAGCATCGTGCACGTGGTCTTCAGAGCCTCCATCGTCTACAAATCAATACCACTGGGTCATGCTTTGCAGCAACAAACGTTTCCTAGGGGTTACTCTGGCTGGATCAGTTTCAGAAAAGCCCAACTCCTGACTACAGTCTGAAATGGGGTTTGCATTTCTAAGGTGACTGGTGGGAATGGGTCAAAAGCCACTTGTGCTGCCATCTTGGAGCAGAACCCAAAGCCAGCCAGCACAAGGGCCACTAAGCTTAAAATCAAAGTGGCTCACGCTGGCCTCCCAAAGCATCCAATTTTAATTTTAATCTTTGTTGGTTCTTTTTAGTTCTCCATGACAGTACAATGTATTTTGACATATCATAGATACATAGAGTATAACTTCCCATTTTTTATTCTTCATCTTTTAAAATCAAAATTAAGAAGAACTACTATCTACTTTGTAAAGCCACTTTTTAAAATCTCAAAACCTTGGCAACAAGACATGATTGAAAAGGAGCCTGGTTACTGGACAAAATTTATGTCTTGGAACCCTCCTTCCAAACCCTCGTGAGTGTCCTCCAGGGACCTCAGGGCCTTGCTTAGCCTCCTCACTTGCTTCTGGCTGGTGAGCTGCATCTCCCTCTCGGTGATCTCACGGCGAAGATGGTCCACCTCACTTCGCAGCTGGACTATCTCATCGTTGGCACCAGATGCCTCATCGAGTTGTTTGGACAGGTAGAAGTTTTGGTTGTTGAGTTCAGCGTTGTCCTCAGTCAGCTGGTTTAGCTGCTCCTCCAGGTCTGTGATGACCTGAAAGGGGAAAGGAATCCAGTGATGCTCCAACAGAGTTAATTTTAAGCAATGAACTGCTTAAAACCACACTAGCGATGGTTTTTGCACCTGCGTGACACGGCAATCAAAGCACAGCTGTCTACCCATGAGGCCAGACCTCAATTCCCACACCCACCCAGGTCTCCACTACACAGAGGGAGAAAAAGGAAAGTCTAGGTTCCTTGCTAACTCAGGGTTCATCTGGAAAATACGGCAAAGACAAATCAATCAAAAGTGGCTGCTGTGTGGATGAGGCAAGCTGGCATGAGAGCAGGTTAAAATCAGGGGATCAAAAATACAAGGGAGGGGGAAACGCAAGCCATGAGAAATTTGCCAAGGTGTCACAATCACCTAGTTAGGCTAATGACCTAGACACCATCTACAGATGCTGTCATCAGAAATGGCCACAGTACAGAGAGCCAAACCAAGTTCCTATCAAGGAATACTGACAGGGAAGGACACTGAGAATTAGTTGAATAATTATCACAGGCAATAGATTTAATTTCATGTAATCAAGAGGAAAAAAATCTTAAGGGAAGCTTGGAAAAGTCCTGAAAATACAATACTGCATAACAGCATTGCTTCAATGGATTTTACTCTACAGTTAGCTCTCAGCCTATATGAAATTGTCATTTTATTGAGAGAGATTTAATCTGGTTTTGCTAAATTATTTCCCTGCTCAATGGCAGAATGACTTCAATTCCAGTACATTTAGCTTTTCTAGTCTCTTAGCTGAGGTTTAGTATCGGTGCTTGCAGTGAGCTTTTATATAAAACACTTTAGAAGTTTAAGGGCAATTTTCTAATAATAGTTGGAATGAGGCTTAGGGGCTGTAAATTAAATTTTATGCAACGAAAAGAAGTAAATTAAAAGGAAACGTCTTTAGCGTATGGTTACTTACTTTATGAAATGTTACCATTGTTTCCACGACTAATTCCCTGTTTTAATCCACTCTGATTATCAATTTGAAAAGAAAACAATCTTTCCAAATCCATAAAGTTAGAGAACATCAATTAAGGACATTTGTTCAATGTGGCTTGGAAAACACAGCTTTTCATTTTGTTAACTGAGCTGAGAACCTTCTGAGGTAGGAAAGTGGTGTAGTAATTTGGTTTTTAATGTCAGAACCCATGTTGATTTTAACCTGAGGCAGCTGGCAGCTACAAGAGGGGGATAAAGGTTATTGGGTGAGGCACCTTCTTTATCAAGGGGGAAGCCATACATCTTTGTCATTCCTAGCAGACAGTTAACACCTTGGAGGGTCATTGTGTCACCCTTTCTGTGACATGGTCAACTCTCCCATAGTCAGTGGCAGTGAACAAACAACGACCATGTGTTCAACTTGTGCCATTCTCTAGGGAGCAAACCCACTCATTCGGATACTTTTGCTCCTGGCTATAAGCCTCTCCACCAATTGACTGTGCTTCCTTTAACCTTTTCCCCAAAGACAGTGAGACTGTGGTGAACCAGCTGGGAGACAGGCTGCATAATGGATTCTGGAACCCAAATGGGCCACCTTGGGCTCAGCTGCAGAGGCATCTCCACCTGTGACAATATGTACATACTGGGCTGACTTCTCATATGTTTGTATTGTTTGAGTTTTCTTGTACACAATTTGACCTTAATGTGTCCTGTGAAATATAAGGAATAAAAACTAATGACCAGGGGCTGAGGCTGTAGCTCAGTGGCAGAGCGCTGGCCTAGCATGTGTGAGGCACTGGGTTCGATTCTTAGCACCACATAAAGAGAAACAAAATAAAGGCATTCTGTCTATCAACCAAAAAAAAAACTAATGACCAAAATGTTTAATTTTTTAAGCCTCTTTGGGAACAGATTATAGGAAAGAATGTAGAGAAGTATACAATTCTCACAGAATATATAAATTTACTCGCTAGTCAAAATGCCACTTAAGTCTTCCTTTGATTCATGAAAAAAAAAATAGTTTATTATGAGCCCATTTCTGCCATCTCTTCATTTCTCCCTAAATTAGGTTATAAAGGGCTAAAGGAGAAACACATGGAAAAGCCGTGGGGGGAGGTTTTCACTTACACTTCAATTGCAGGGGGATCACTGGAGTAGGAAGAGCCCCTCCATTTCCCTGTTGTCGCCCAGTTTTCAAGGAGTCTCAAGTCTCTGATTCCTATTCCCAGCTTGTGACTGCTGGTTCTATATTTGGTCATTGTCCCTATTTTGTGCATTTGACAATATGAGGATTCTGAATCCATGTCAAGCTCCCATGCAAAGATTTAAAGCATTTTAACTTCTTACACTTCTGTCTGCTCACGTCACAGCACATCAGCTGTGGACCTGTTTCAAGTGGCTGGAGCTGTAGTTAAGTGTATAGACACATCTATACATGCATTAGTGAGTTTATAGGCGCAAAGCCGACTTGAAACACAGGCAGTAAATTAATGGTCCCAGTGGTTAAAAAAGAAAAGTATAATAGGCAATGTTTACAGTGTCCTTTGAAGTAGGTATTATTGTACCCCCATTTTATACATGGGGAAATTGGGGCAGCAGGGAGGCGAGGTGACTTGCCCAGCAACACGCTGAGAGTGGATAACAAAGCCAGATGCAAAGCCGGCATTCAAAGTCAAGAACCTCTGCTCTTATCCCTATAGCATGCTGCTCCTCTCCAACAGGGAAAGAGCTATTTATTCCTCTTTTTCCCCCCCCAGATCTTTGAAACTTGAAATGATCGACCACTCAGGGTAACCCTTCTTGCTTTTGAACCAAGTCATATGCAAGATGCTTAAGTCTATTTTGGGGCCATGAGTATGCTCTCTTTATACCAAGGGCAAGTGATCTGTTTATTGACAGACTTAGGTTAAGAGTCTGCTAACCTTTGAGCCTCAAGGATAGAGGGTAAAAAAGACAAACTGTAAGGCTGATTCCATCTCAACAGTAAAGATAAGGGAGATAGGTTCCTAAGGCAGGAGCCACAGAACTTCCTTATGTGCTATTTTCGCAGATAAGAAATCTTGCTGCTGTTTTCTAAGAGAGAACAGGGATATAAAGAATTATCTACTCTGTGTCCAATTTTTTTAAAAAATAAAAGTCTCTGTGTGGGGTTATCTGTTGGTTTTCAAGGCTGTCATGCAAACCTCATGGTTCTGAGAAGGAGATCTTGACCCCTCATAGCTAACTGAGAGATCAGGAGAAGTGAGCTGCCAGGTGAATGTCCAGTGAACATTAGGGGTGAAGAAACCAGGCGAATAATGAGCATCAGGCTAAAACCACATAGGCCTGAAATCCTATTTTAATACCTCGCTCTTTCCTGAAGGCAGCTATTTGCATATTATTTATTTTTAATCTTATAGCTGACAGATTGATTCATAATTAAAGCTGTGTCACATGTTTGCCCACCAACTCCCCTCTAAAACAGACTGAGGTAGGGTTTTAGGTGCCAGATTGAATCAAATCCTTTTTTAAATCCCTTCAAAATAGAGCAATGGTCTGAGCTTGACAATCTCATTGCTCCAGCTTGTTGGAAGCTGCTAACTGGGTGCTCCTATCAATTGAGCTATTATGGGAAGGAGTTCTCACCAAAAACAAAGATGACATTTCCTAGTGGGGACAATTTTGGACAGCACCAAAAAGAAAGGAATATCCATCACTCTCTCCCAAAGCGTCTTTAAAGGGGCCTTGAACTTGCAAAAGTATCACTGATATCCGCTTTTGTGATTGAATGTGGCTCTAAAGCAGGGGTTTTCAAGAAGCAGACCATTTTCCAAGCTGGAGGTTATAAGTCCACGGTAATAACACTGCTCAGTGCCTCCCATGGACAAGGCCGTGTGCAAGCGCTTTGTGTGTCTCATCTCATTTAATCCCTGCAGGAAACCTATGAGGGAGGCATTATTACCAAACTCTGTGACTCAGTGTTTCCTAAATCTTACTGTTTCTGAAACTTAAATTTACAGCGGAACTAAGCAGCTCTCTCTCTTCCATCACCCAGAGAACAGTTATTAAATTGATTATGTATCAGACAAGCAGTGGTATATTACAACTAAGTGTAGTCAATTCTATCCCCATTTTACAGACAAAGAAATGGAAGCTTTGGAGGATAATGTCGCATAGGTTACTTGGAGGCTAGTTTATCATTTGAGCTCAGTGCCTGACTCCAGAGAGCATGGCATAGACCATGAAGCCACCCAGTTGCTCAAGCTGACCTGTGGGTGGGGGTCACTTTCTCAGGTTCTCCCTCCCACTTGGGAAGGTCCCCCAGATGCTTTTCCCAGAATACCAGAGGTAAGTGAAGCAATGATTAGAAGTCACTGTCCCAGGAAAAGGAAAGGTGGACAGTCCAAACATTATATAAATAAACCAGACACCAAATTCATCCCACATCCTGGCACTTCCCACTAAAAGTAGACATCCAATTGTTAAAATGGGGGGCAGTGTGGATTACAAAAGCGTAGCAGGGAACCTTTAAAGAGTGATGGGTATGTTCACCATTTTGATTCTTTCGGTTTCACAGGTACATCTACATTATAACACTATGTTGATTGTATACCAATTATACCTCCATAAAGCTATAATTCCTTTTAATTTCTTACTCCAAAAGAAAGAGAGAAAGGAGAATTTCAGATAAATGTAACAAGATTACTGATGAATAATACATTTTAAAACCATTCAAGTTTCAAGAAAACTATGATCTGTATTCTACTCACTGATCATTCATGAATGTGTATGTAATATAAGCAAATAACTCTGGTGTAAAAATAAGAAACCAAGACAACAAGAAACTAAAAACTAGGCAGAAGAGAAGAGATTACAGGAATAAGATCCACCAACTCCTTAAGGAAGGCAGGAGGGATGGAGAAATCAACAGGCATTTTAAGGCATGTCTACCCTGATCCAACCATCATATCTGGAAACACGAACCAAAAATCTGTCTGCCAAACAGAGGCATATTCATGACCTAGCAATTCCACACCTAGCTATAAGCTCACCAAAAATAAGTATCTACAGCCACCAAAGGCCTGCAACAGGGATATTTTTCTAAACAGCTCCATGTATCATGGAAACAACATAAAATGTCCATCAACAAAGAGAACTGATAAATAAACTACACAGTTCTATTCATACGCTGCAAATACTACAGTAATGAAAAGAACAAACTATTGACAGAGGCAACAACATGAAGGGACCTCACAGACAATTTAAACAACAACAATAACAACTACTACTAAGCCCAAAAGAGCATATCTTCTCTGATTCCATTGACATGAAGTTCAAATACAGGCAAAACGAATCTATGGTATCAGAGACCAAAATTAGCAATAATACTGTGAGAAAAGGATGCCAATGAGAAATGAGTACCTGAGGGAGACTTCTGAGGGAAACATCTGCAGCTTTTTTTCCCCCTTTTTGGTACTAAAGATTGAACCCAGGGTTCCCCACCTCCCCAGCCCTTTTTATTTCTCATTCTGAGACAGAGTCTCACTAAGTTGCTTAGGACCTCACTAGGTTGCTGAGGTTGGCCTTGAACCTGCAATCCTCCTGCTTCTGCCCCAGATTTTCTGGGATTATAGGCATGCGCCATTGCAGCCAGCTCAACATCCTGCATCTTGATCTGTACCACAACTGCACAGTTGTCTATAGGTGTAAAAATTTCACTGAGCTGTACACTTAGGATTAGTGTACTTTATGCACTTCACTATCTGCATTTTATATCCAATTTACCTAAATTAAAAAAAAAAAAAAACACAAACTGTTAGGACTTAATGTCCCAGTTATAGTAGCTAAAGAGGAAATAAAGAGCTCATCATCATAAAAACATAAAATATGTATGAAGGGAGGTGTTCCTGGAAATCCACAGATGCAAACAGTACAAACGAGGACAATATCACTAAGGACTAAGAGGTAATAAAGTGGTGAACAGGGGCTGGGGATGTGGCTCAAGCGGTAGCGCGCTCGCCTGGCATGCGTGTGGCCTGGGTTCGATCCTCAGCACCACATACAAAAACAAAGATGTTGTGTCCGCCGAAAACTAAAGAATAAATGTTAAAATTCTTAAAAAAAAAAATAAAAAATAAAGTGGTGAACAGATCAAAGAAAAGATATGGGAACACAACTAGGGACAACATTCCCATCTTGTGAAAGGGGCCTATTTTTGTCTTTCATTTTGATAAAAAATAGACTCTGCATTTCCATTGACTCTACCCTATTATATAACCTATGAATGATGTTTATCTGCTAATAGAATTTACTTCTCCTGATATAAGTACCTTTGCACAAAGGGCCCTAGGCCTTGAATTTGCATGTTACGAAGCCAGACTATGTCTGTTAGGAGTCCGGACATCTAGATGCACAGGAAAATTAGCTGGTCTTGACTCAGCAGAGGCAATAGGCTGGAGAAGCCTTGTGGATACAACTGTCCCTAGCATTTGGAGTCTCTGGCCTGGGGTGGCCCTGGACCCTTCCACACTGAAGAAGGAGGAGGAGTTGCCCTGGAGTTTCTGTGCTGTTGCTGAGATCCAGTGGTAGTTCCACAATGAGAATTATTCTGACCATCCCAGCTTCCTCTTCCCCCAAACATGAGAAATACTCTGGTTTTGATTTTTTAAAAAACTGATAGAACTCTGAGAAACTAGTTATTTGGTGCTCAAAAAAATTTGACTACATTATCTGCTTCATGTTGCAAGTTCATATCAAAATTCAGTCACTGGTATTATAAAGAGATGTCCCCTTTTCCTTCTTTGTTTTAGTTTCATAGTATTTTAGCCATCTTTGGTTAATTAATACTCACAGTACAGCTGTTACGAAGGGCATCAAATTTGCGCTGGATTTCATCTCTATGCGCCTAAAAGGTAAGAAGTTGATTATGAATTTTTCATAGGGTAGAAAGCAACTGTACATGCTACGGGTCAAACACAGAACACAATCTGCCTGGAAGGCTGAGAGTGCTGTTGCAGTAGCCCCAGCCCCTGTTCCACAAGGACTCACTCATCAAGGCGCTCCCCACATCAAAAACAGGTTACAGGAATATACAACGCTATTAATAACAGGGGACTATTGAGACCACACATGCACACCCTGTACACGTATTTCTACATTCCTATTGACATCTAGGGACTTCTGGAAGAAAAGGAAAAAAGCAATAAAGGATGCAGTTTGGACTCTCCTTCACTTGTCCTACCCCCCGTTCTCTTCCCTCTAAACAACTCCTCCCCAGCCTTCTAGACACACACACACACATACACAGAGAGAGAGAGAGAGAGAGAGAGAGAGAGAGAGAGAGAGAGAGAGAGACATGCAGACACAAGACAATTGCCAGGAAAAAGTAGAAATTTTTTTTTCTTTTAAATCAAAAGCTGCTGAGATTCAGAAAATCTTACATTGACCTTGAAGCAAATGAACAGGCATTCTCTGAGGCAAAGCTGCTCCAAAACAGCAGTGTTCACTTGAGTTGACAAAAACTTTTTGAGTGTATGGAGTATGCCTAGCAGTGTGGTAGGGTTAGGAACATGTGGCCTACACCTTCATTCTGGTGAGGAGAGACAGGAAATAGATAAGCACATGACTGCAGACTGGATCAGACACCATGAAGGGGTTAGTAAAAAAGAATAGGAGAGAGTAGATGGGAACTTAGACGAGGCGACCAAGGGGTTTCTCTGAGGAGGTGACATGTACCTTGAAATCTACAGGAGGAGGAGCCAACCTTCAAAATACAGGAGAGGGCAGAGGGCATAGCATTGGTAAAGTCCTCAGGCAAAAAAGGGTTTGGTGTATCTGATGAAGAAAAGCGCAGAGTGGCCACAGGGGGTTGCAAACTTCAGAGAGAGACCCAGTGGCAAGCATGGAAAGTGAGGTTTTTTGATTTTTGGTTTGCTATATTCAATGAAATAGAATAAACAGGACAGAAAACATCAGAATATGCCTTGGGTAGTAAAGGTGAGCACTATCTTAGTAAACTTTTGTTAAGATGCCATACATAACCCATCAGATTCAGATGGCTATCAATTATTAAGGTCTATCACTAATGTACATATCAGTGAGAAAGAAAAGTGTGTCAATTAAACCAGGGCATGTTCATGTCTAAAAAGACTATAAAATGCATCCTGATTTCAGATGCCTTAAAATCAATGAAATACACCATAGAGTTGGCCTTCTATCTGTGGACTCTGCAACCACAAACAGCTGTGGACAGGAAATAGTAGGGGGAAAATTTTGCTTCCTTACTAAATACATATATATTTTTTCTTATTATTGTTCCCTAAACACTATACTATAACAACTAATTACATAGTGTTTACATTATATTAGGTATTATGAATAATCTATATTTAAAGTACATGAGGAGATGCACATAGATTCTATGCAAATACTAAGATTATTTGCATAGAATAGATTAATGCCATTTCATATAAGGGACTTGAGCATCTGCATATTTTGGTATGTGTGGGGTATGGTCCTGCTAAGAATCCCCCCCATACCAAGGGATGAGCGTATACACTTTTAACTAAAAGGATTTGTAGATGGCTTGGGGGTGGACACAAAAGAGGAATCAAAGACATTCTTGAGAAATTAAGTAGATTATGGTATCATTTGCTGAGCTATGAAAACCCAAAGAACTATCCAGTTTCAGGCAGAGGTAAAAGTGGTCCTTCTCTTAAAAATCAAACAAACAAAAAAAGGCTCTCTATAAAAAGAACTTAAGACAACTCAAAAATTTTAGATCTATTATGTATATTTCTCATAAATTAAGGTAAGCTTATAATAGCAGATTAGATAACTTTAGAAGATAAGTAAAATTGAAGACACAGCAATAGAAACTACCCAAAATGAAGCACAGAAAAAAGAGACTTAAAAAATGAACAGAGCATCAGTGAGCTGTGAGACAACTTTGAGAGGTCTAATATGCACATAGTTAGTGTCTCTGAAGTTATACACAGGTGAGACAGAAAAAAAAAAGTTTGAAGAAATAATGGTCACAAATTTCCCAAAGTTGATGAAAGCCATCAAAACACAGATACAAAATGTTCAAAGAACCATTAGCACAAAAAAAAAAAAAGAAGAAGAAGAAGAAGAAGAAAATTAACCTGAAGTACATCGTGATCAAACTGCTTAAAACCAAGAATAAAGGGGGAAATATTAAAACAAACCAGAAAAAAAGACCTGTTACATTTAGAGAAACAAAGACAAGACAGATTTATCATAAAAGATAGTGTATGGGGTGGGGGGAGCTAGAATAGCAAAATCTTTTAAGTACTGAAAGAAAAAAAATAACTATCAACCTAGAATTCTATACCCAGCAAAAATATCTTTCAAAAAATGAAGATGAAATAAAGGCCTTCTCAGACATACCAGAGCTGAAAGAATTTGTCACCACCAGATTTACACTATGTTAAAGGAAGTATTTTGCTCAGAAGGAAAATGACAACAGAAATTTGGACCTACACAAAAGAATGAAGAGCACTGGATAAATGATAAAACAAAATAAATAAAAAACAGATAGTTACATGGACAGATTCATAAATAAAGTTCAAAATAACTTCCCAAATAATTTGTCCATGCTTTCAATGGACTAAATTAATGAATCATAACTTTTCAAAAAAAATTTTTCAATCCGATTTCTGCTGAGTGATATAGTCTAGATACTGAAATGTCACCAAAGGTCCATGTGTTAAGGTTTAGTCCACAGAGTGGCACCATTAGAAGGTTCTGTTGTCCTTTAGGTAGTAGGACTAGTGGAAGGCCCTTACATCCCTGGGGGGCATGCCCTTGAGAGACTTGATGATTTTAACCAGGGGACCCTGGTTTCATTGTCTTCCTCCATCTTTGCTTTCTGCTCATGAGTTGAGCCATGTTGATGCACCACGTACCCTCCATGTGCTGCCTTGCCACAGGCCCAAACAAAAGGAATCAATCAGTCATGGACTGGAACAGCCAAAACTGTGAGCCAAAATAAGCTTTGCCTCTTTATAAGGTAATTATCTCAATATTTTGTTATGATGGTAATTATCCAACATAAGAACATGGCCATCTGCACTATTGTTGAGATCTCATTTGTGATCAATGACACAAGCAGCCTGAGGCCAGCGGCAGCCTGGCCCCAAGGACCACCCAACCCCCTCTAATGCATTCCAAGATAAAAGGCAAGGATCCTTCCTATAAGCCCTTACATTAATCAACTTAGGTCAGGGGTCAACAAACCTTTTCTTAAAATATATTGAGTTTGCTGGAACTTTGGTGGATTCAGATCTGAACTCATAGACCAAGAGCAGCCATAGATAATATGTAAATGAATGTGGCTGTGTTCCAATAAAACTTTATTTACAGAAAACAGGTGACAGAATGGATTCTGTCCACTAGCTGTACTTTCCCAGCACCTGCTCTAAAGGACTATTTGGTGTTAAATGTTTCAAAGACAAATGAGAACCTAAGGGTGGAATCGACTCCTTTGAAGTATAAACAGTGATCATAAAAACAAATTCACTGGCCTATACATGGAGACAAAAACCCTGTTCCACTTTCTTATTATGTTCTACTTTCTTATTAATAGCATAGTTTCCAAATAACACTGCACCATTAAAAACTCATTTATCTGTCCCATTGGAATCTAAAATTTCAATCACTAATAAGGGTTCATTTCCATTAAAATGAACCATATGGTTTTTGGATCATTTCAACACATCAAATAGCAATTCTTTCTGAAAGTACAATTTAATAAACTACAATCGCTAGGACTTTTGATTTATTATTGATTATGAAACATACACACTAAATGAAAAAAAAAAAAAACTGATCCTGTCGAGGATGCTGGAAATACTATAAGCACTAAACTACTGAACTGATTTGAGTAAGAAAATAGTTAAGAAATACATGATTCAAGTTTCTTTACAATAAACTGTGAAAAAAAAACAAAACCAAAGGTCACAAAATAAAATACACAAGGCCAGTAAAATACATAAGATAAACTTTGGATTCCCTCAATGAAAAATGTGAATGCTAACTGGGTATTAGGCACTACAGGGAATAATATCTACCCACTTAAAAATGATTGAGGGTCCCAGAGAGTGCAAATGTTAACAGTTAAAAAGAAAAAAAAAAGTCAAATGATATCTTAGTATTGCTACCAAAATGGTCTGACCTTGAGACCCACTAGGGATCCACAGACTGGCTTGAAAATCACTGACCTAGGAGGTCGGTGGCCTCAAGGGGCTGAGCAGACTGGCCTTGCCTGAGGACCACAGACACCCTCTTTTGGGAGTTTTTATACGGAAAGCTACAAGATGAAGAAAGATAAAGGAAATTACAATGAGGCCACAATGAGAGGAAAGACTTGCAGAACTGAGGAAGGAAACCAGGCTTCAGATGTCTGACCACCTCCTGTGGTCGACAGTCAGGATTCTAGAACCCTCAGGCTTCCATGCAATCCATCCCTTCCCTGGTGGGCAGGCACCTCGCAGGAATGTCACCTTCCATGCCCCAGATTTCATATCTTGACTATCATGCCGATGGCTTGCTAATTAAATTCAGGGTTTGATAATTATGTAAAAGAATGAGAGCGTGCACTGATTGATGATTTTAAGGAATCAAAGAGGATGACTTTGGGATCCTGTGATTCTGCTATGAGGGGAGAAGGATTCTTTTCATTAGTGTCTCTGGCTTAGGACTCTTGATTATTCATCTAGTTTCTTGACTGAATCAGTAAAAGAACATGGAGGCAGGAGCACAAAGCATGTCCCTCAGGCCTTGCTGGTGTTCCCAAAGCACATGCCATCTACCAGGTTGTCCCACACGTAACACATTACATGACAGGTCTGTGCACTGCTCAAATTCTCTTCCCCAGACAAAGGGATCACATGGAATGTTGAATACCAAGTCCAGATCAAAAACCAAAAACAAACAAAAAAATACTTTTCTGGCAATAAGTAATAAGCAATAAAGTTATCTTTAGAAGCAGGTTTCTGTTTAAATTTGACTCTGTTGGTCTCTACCTTGACTCAATCTCAGCTTTTAATAGCCAATTTCAATGCAAGCACAATTAACAGGATGGGTAAAGTGAGAGTGGGAAGGAAGGAAGCATTAGGAAGGCCAACAATACCGCCCCTGCCAATCTTCTTCAACGGAGACCTTTAATTTAACTGTGCTCCACCTAATTTGGCTCAGGGGCGGAGGCCAAACAAAGTAATTGCTCCTTCCAGGCCAGGAGATGGACACCTCTTAGAATTAAACAATAATAGCCCACTTGACCATTCCCTTTTATTGATAAAACATCATGCTGCGAAGCTCACAAATCTCCTGGGAGATCACTTGAGATTCAGGCTGATTTAGTTTGATGGACGCCTGTGTTGAGTCTGAACGTGGGCCTCCCACAATAGGAAAGTATTACATTTATGACCATTTTCTTCTTCTATTGGAAAATATGCTCTTCAGAACAAAAACCACCAAGCCACGTGCTCCCATATATCTATACTCCCGTACTCCCATATCAAGAAGAAGGAAGGGGAAATGTCCACGGCCTCAGAACTGGACTAAAGCATATTGATACAAGCCTTGGATTTCCACAGGATGGGTTTACCAGCAAGGCACTTTAAACAGATATAGTTTCCACAGCACCTTCATCTGCAAGAGCTATCGATAGAGCCCTAGTTTTTAGACCTCAGGAGTTTTTTCTTTTTTTTAAAGAAGACTCTTTGAGGCAGTGATCTCATCTGACTAAATTAAGTCGTGACTGCTGTGCTAGGCTTCTAGCAGCCATTAGACACAGTACATTCCAACCAGCAGCAAGACAGGATTTAAAGGACTGATTTCCCCCAGATAAACAGCAGTGACACATGCTCTATTTTATATCCTCATCCTCCTCCTCCTTTCAAACAAGGGCAGGATAAGATACATGGTCACCACCTGCCCTCCCAATTCCAACAGAGCAGCAAGATAAACTGTCCTCCTCAGCTGCTCTGAAGGAAAAGGACTTGGGGACTCACAGGCCCATCTCCTGGAGAGAAAAGCTGGAGAGAGAGCACTGGGCAGGTAGCAAATGCTCATTAAATATGGATCACATTGCTGACGTTTCTTTCTCTTTCTTTCAGAGCTTGGGTATTTGTACAGGGGGAGAAATATCAATATACAATGCGTTAAGCAACAGAGGTTCAAATTTGGGTGTCTCCCCCAGCGGCTAAGAAATGCAGTCTGTGGTGCCTCTTCACCCCAGCAAGGGCCAGGCCTTCTTGGCTGCACTCCTGTACTTAACTTTCATTTTGAGCTCCCCTTTGCTTTTTCAGGCACTTATTTTCTCTTTGCCTTGTCTTTCTTCTTGTGTCCTGTTTTACCGTTTTGTATCTTGCCAAACTGTTTTTGATCCATTTTAAAACAAAGCAGAATATACAAAGAATTTCGTGACTTTTTTTTTTTTTCAAACTAAATATTGGGTGTCACTGAATGAGCGTCCTCATACAGATGACAGAATTTAAAGTCTCAATCAATACCCAGAGTTGGTACAAGTCCTGGACAATCTAGGCTGCACAAGTATTTTCCACCAGGATCGTATAAGCCGTTGTGTTCCTGATTAGTTCCTAAGGATTCTGGCACTCAAAGATCACATCCCCAATTTGGTTCAAACACTGGGATCCCCAAACCCAACAGTAGAAGATAACTTCTAAGAATAAAACTGGTTTAAAGATACACACACACACACACACACGTTATTTTTAAATAAGGTAATCATTAAGCACTAGAGATATTAGCTGATGGTGGTAAGGCCAGTATCCAAGTTGAATCAGAATGAACAAGGTACCCATTTAGGAAACACCAAACCCAATCAGCTGCATTGTACCCTGCCCACAGGAGAGGGCACCCTGACCAGAAGGCATGAGTATACCCATCTGCTTGGCAGGTACAGAACGTTACTGGGAGAACCATGTGTGCGTGGCTGAGATTAGCCACGAAAACTCATTTGGCTTTCTAGGCTCGGAATCCAGGCCCACCAAGCAGCCTTCTAAGAGTAATAGGGTTTTCTAAGTAGAATTCCCTAAAGGAGAAAGAAAACAGGAGGACTGGCCACCCAGAATGCCCTGGTTAACTTGGCACTTGTATCTCTCTAAGTTGCTGATGAGTTGGCATTTTACTTTTAAGACTCTTGAAAGCTTTGTTAACCCTGTGAGAATGCTTGGCTGTGGGAAAATAACTAAAAAGTCTCATTTTTAGACTCCCAGAAAGAACCAAGTTCCAAGTCCAGTGAAGCCCCTCCAAGCTCTACCTCCTGACAACACAACCAGCTGAGTAACTCAGTCTCTCAGAAAGAGCAGGTAAGCCAGGTCCCTTTTAGAGAAAGAACCTCTGACTCGGAAGACTGTCCCATCCAGCTCATGCCAGAGGCATACAAAGGACATGAAGCAGAATCTCCAGCTTAAAATAAAGATAACACCAATGAGTTTAACCAAAATAAAAAACAGAAATATGGTAGCAAGACTGCTGTAAGATAGAAGATCATCGTCATCATTATTATTATTATTTTAATGACTATTAAAAATGAATGTAGAAGACCCAGGTAAACAAACTGGCTGAAATCGAATTTTTTAACATGATTGTTTTTAAAAGATGGAAGAAACATAAATAAAGGAGGAGTTTTTCAGGGTACCAAGGAAAGCTCAGATATTACCAGTCAAGCTTACATACTAATTCCAACATAGGAAAAGTCTACCTGAGCCAATTTGCTGCCCATTAACCATCTCTGGATGGCTTTTTCCCTCTTGGAGTCTCTAAGAGTGAGCAAAGGTCCTCAGTGCCACACTCACCCCAGCCCAGACCTTCTGAGCCTCCTGGACCTACCGTGAGAGCCTGGATCTCCTCTTCCGCTTCTGCTGTGGTCTCCTCCAGCTCTGTCTTAGCTTGCCGAAGCTGGCTCTCCAGGGCAGCCCGGGCGGCCTGCAGGGCTGTCAGCTGGGACTCGCGCTCCTGCAGGGACAACTGCAGCTCCGTGAGCTGGCGCTTCAGCTCCAGTTTCTGCTCCTCGTGCTCCAGGCTGACCTGAGGAGAGACAAGAGAAAGTGAAGACCCTCAAGCTGCTCGACCTACAAGCTTAAACCTGCTCTTGGAACTATCTTCCAGGGACTCCCTAGGGGCAGGGAAATGCAAGAAAATGGGCCTGACTTCCAGGTGTTTCAGAAATCAGCAGAACAGAGAGCACACGCCTAGGATGCACAGCTGGCCCTCCAGATCCCTAGCTTCTGCCCGAGTTCAACCAACCATGGATTGAAAATATTTGGAGAAAAATAAATTGCATATTTACTCAACATGCACAGACTTATCATTATTCCCTAAATAATACAGTCTAGCAGCTATGCACAGAGCATTTGCATTGTATTAGGTATTTCTAAGTACTCTAGGGACGAGTTAAAGTATATAAGAGGATGCATGTAGATTCTATACAAACACTTCTCCATTTTATAAGACACTGAGCAGCTGCAGATTTTGGTATCTCTGAGGGATCCTGGAACCAAGGCCCTGAGGATACCAAGACTATATATACTAACCATCTGCTACCTACAAATACTCAAAGGCCTGGGAAAATGAGAAGAATATCAAATGAAAATTACAATTATTCTTTTTTTTTTAGTTATTGATAGACTTTTTAATTTTATTTGTTTATTTATATGCGGTGCTGAGAATCAAACCCAGTGCCTCACATGTGCTAGGCAAATGCTCCACTGCTGAGCCCTAGCCCCAGCCCCACGACAATTATTTTTACTAGAAACACTTAAAGAAATACAAATAGTCTCATATTAGTAACAGGAAAGACTTTACAATTATAATGTAAATGGAACAGCAAGTGAATTGTACTTATTTCAACTGTTCATGCTCTGACTCGTTCTCATTAGGTGCTCCGCGTTCTTTCCTCACTTTGAGGTAACCTTTCTTCTCTCCATCTGCCTGTCCATCCACCTCCCTACTCAACAGTTCATCCATTCAATTGCTGAAATGTATTCAGCAATTTCTGTGTTAAAAGGAATATGGAGATGAAAGACGGTCTCTGCCTTCAAGTTGATGAGAAATTAAAAACCATCTACTCCCACATAGTGTGGTCACTGCAACAATCAGGACGTGTGGGGACTTGGAGGGAACATATGGGGGGGGGCAAACTCTGAATCTGAATTTACAAGAGTCAAACAAGCAGATAAGAGGGATGGAAAATTGCAGATAGGGGAAGCAAGACACTCGAACATACAGAGGTGAACGAGACCACGACACTTCTGTTGACCTAACAGACACAGGCAAGGTCGTTCTAGGGACCAAGGCCAAGCAAATGAGAGATGCCCTCTGCCTTCAGGGGCTCACGGTCTAAGGAGACCGCCAAGAGAAACCCAGGTGGTGACCTCAGCACATCAGGCTGTAGGGTCCAGAGGAGCCTTCCTGCTGAGAAGCCTCCCTAGCAAAGGTGGCATCCAAGTCTAAAGGCCACAGGCACAAAGAGAAGGAGGACTTATAAAAACCTTGACCAACAGGATCTGGCAGTCAACTTAAGCTGGGGCAGTGAACAAAGGACAGAGGGGAGTTAGGGAGAGTGAGGTCAGAGGGGAGGAGCAGGGAATAGCCAGTTGAGAGGAGAAAGGTACCAAAGTCCATGCTAAGGTGTTGAACCTGAGTTCCCTGGGAGACAACGGGTCAGAAACTCATGAGAAAGACCTCGCTGGAGATCCAGATCTGGGGCTTCATAGCAAACCAGTGGGAGAATCGTGCTCTACAGCCTCTCTAGTAATGATGGCAACTTGCTGTGGTGGCAGCAAATGGTGCCTACGACGTGCTGGGCGCTGTGTAAACTCACCGCACCTCGTAACACCCAACAAGGGAGGTATGCTATCACCTACACTTACAGATAAGCGCACTTGGTGGTGAGACATCAGACCACTGGGCAAATGTCACATAGCTAAAGATGGCAGGGGTAGCATTCCAACTCAGGAACTCTGGCTCAAGCCCATGCTAGCAAAGACTGTGTATGTCTATTAGAATGCCAGCATCAGGGCACTGGGACTCTAACAGTTAGCCTGAACATCCCTGATGCCCCTCAGCAAAACCACGAGAGGTAGGAAGAGCAAGTCCAGTGCCTTCGGGTTGAGGCTAGGGCCTTTGCCCTCGGTCTCAACAGCAGCGTGTTGCCAGGAGGAGATGGACTGGCCTTGTTCTATTTAAAGCTAACTCTAAAACACCCAGGGAGAATACAGAGCCTGAGCCTCTCATGAAACATTTTTAAGTTTCTTCTATCATCCCAGGGCTACTAATTATACTAATTTTAAAAGAAGAAAAGCAGCAAGCTTCCCTGGGGTCATTTTAACTGTCCAGCTGTGCTACAGCCGCAGGACAGGCTTGGTAAGATACACGTGTGTATGTGGAAAGGGAAGGGAAGAGACAGCCAGTCCCAGCTAACAGGCTGAAGAACTCTGCCTGGGTTATTTACACCCACACCTGAGGCTGACTCTGCCAGCAAACGTAACAAGATCACGAAAGGCTTTGGACATCCCAGAACAAGAGCTCTCCAACTCCAGGGAGCATATGAATCACCCAGGTGCTTGTTAAAAATGCAAATTCCTGTACTCCTTTCCAATTTCATTTTCAAAAGCTAAAGATGACATAAAGGATGCTACACTTTACCATGCTCCAGATGATTCTAATGGAGGGTCTGCACTGCTGACAAACATGAGATTATACTTTTTTTTTTCTGTCCTTTGGAGAAGAGGCTTGATTTTAATACTCAAGTACAAATTAAGACACACCACAACACTAGTATTCCTCAAGGTCTAGTCCTCAGACCTGTCTGCTTAATAGTCTTTTCCTTAAGGAAGAGCATCAGCTTTCTGAAGAACTCCAACACAAATATCTGAGCACCTACTGCGCCCTAGACTGGCCTTCACTCCCAGCCCTCATCCTACTTCCAACAACTGCTCTCTGTACCTCCAGTCCTGCTTCTGTAGGTCCAGCTAATCCTGGCCACCCGGCTGAAAGCCCCCAAGATCAGGAACACACCGTATCCCTATGCTAATCACTGGCACACAGCAGGAATTTAGTGAATGCACAATGTGACTTTATGGCTTCAACACAGCTACAATCAAAGTTGCACTACTTTCCTCTCAAAAACCTGGTTTCTCTTCCAAGCTTCTGTGTATCTCTGAAGAGAACTACTTCCATGAAGCCAGCTCAGTTTGGCTGTGTCTATTAATCTACACACTCAGCACTGCCACGCAGCATGCGTGGATGACCCAGTGAGGCCCTCATTCCTCCTGCTGAAGGAGGAATCACTCCACTCCCATTTGACAGATGCACCAATTTACATAATCCCCACGTGAGCCAGGGAGGAGATACAATGACATTTTACAGGTGAGGAAACTAACGCACAGAGATTGAGTAGCTTGCAAAACTACAAAAGAGATCACAAAACTAATAGGAAGTCTAAGCCACTAAGAGGTGAATTCTAAGCCAAATCCATGGGGTCCACTCTGTTCCTGGTCACCATACACAATGCCTCCTGTGTATGTACTGGCTGATGCTTGGAAGCAGGCTGGTTTGGAGCCTAAGTCCCCCACCCCCTCCTAAAAGCTCGGGAGACCACCCCTCACTCTCACCTCCCTCAGCCTGGTCTCCAGCTCCAGCAGCCGACTCTTGTCACTGTGATCTTGGTGGCTGATTTTCTCCAGCTGTTCTTCCAGCTTTCGGTTCTGGGCCTCCAATTTCCCAGCCTGCGTCTCCAGGTAAAACTTCTGCTGCCTGAGTTCTGAAATCATCTCTTCCTGGGCCTTCCTGGTAGGGGTGATGGGAGGATCCAAACAAAATCACAGCCACATCAGAGGTGAACACGTCTCCTCAGGACAGACAGAAACAGAGTGAGACGGGAGTCCTCATTAAGCAGACTGTAATGGTTCTGAAGTTATCTCCCTCCTGATCTGGCCTCATAGGCATGAGCCAGGCCTGGGGATCCTAAAAACCATTTAGTCACCACTGCCAGAGTCCCTCTCCTATGGGGTTAGGGGTGGTCAAGACAGATGCAAAATATGCTAACAGTTCATTCACAGGGCAGGCCTTTTGAGTTTTTTCTTTGAGAGCTGCTACAGGAGAGCAGAAAGGGGCCTCCTCAGAGCATAGGAGTGCCCCCAGTAGCTCATTAACACAGGCTCTGGGAAAGAAACTGGAATGCGAAGAAATAATGCTATCTTTCCTCCTCTCCGCCAAACTGCTTGCAAACATCACAAACCTTAGTGACTCAAAGACCAAATCCAGCCCACCAAACTGCTTAAGATTAAAATGGGAATCTATGGGGAGGAAAAATCATAGAGACTGTAATTCTCTGGGTAGAGAGATTATGATCCAAGTGCTCCTGAAGACAGTCCCTACAGAACCCCAGCCCTCCTGCCCTGGGGTGCAGCCTAACCACAGCAAAACGATGCCTGATGCCTGACAGGGTACACACGAGATCACCTCTCATTGCAAGAGGCAAGACTGGGAAAGGAGGACAGCACCTTTCCAAAAGCAAATGATAAACAGTCTTATTAAAGCAAAACACTCTAATTTGAGGTGGTAATTTGAGGCATTTAAGAAAACCCAACTCAAAAGAAAGGCCATGGTGAAGTGAGACCACTAAAGAGGACAAAATTATACAAGCGTAGGCAGGCTAGGCCAAAGTACAGAAGTAATTAACTCTGCTCCAGCTCCATCAGAGAGAAGGAAAACAGAGTTTGTGTGCCAGAGGAGAAGACCAAAACATAAAAACGTACACAGTTAGAACCTGAACACTTACATGTTCCTTTGGGTGAAGAGACTGCTGTTTGCTGCCAGTTTATTGGCTTCAGACAGTTCCACAATCCTCTGTTCCAGGGATCTGATCTTGGAATCCATAGCGTTGATCATCTGAAACACAAGGACCTCTGACCCTCACACTCAGAGTTACACCAGAATGGGATTCACATGGGCCAGGTGAGCCAGGGTAAAGTCTCTCTGAAATGCCAGCAGTTTGGCCACAGGTAACAAGTGCACCAACTAGTCTGTACCCTAAAGATCACAGATGTCACCAAACAGATGGCACTCAGTTGTTTTTCCAACCAAAATTAAACATCTCCACACTAGCTAAGTGGCTGGCATTAAAAGCACACAGAAGGACCTGCTCAGGAACCTGGCACCCGGTTCCTGTAAGAAGCAGACCTCTTTACATCCTGGTTGTCATCCACATGTGAGCTGGGCCTGCAGGGCCTCTAACCTCAACCCACAAGTTCATATTTAGAGCATCATATTTTTTTCTTTTTTTAAAATATATTTTTTAAAAATATTTTTTGTAGTTGCAGATGAACAGCATGCCTTTATTTTATTTATTTTTATGTGGTGCTAAGGATCTAATCCAGTGCCTCACACATGCTAGGTAAATGCTCTGCCATTTTGAGCTATAGCCCCAGCCCTAGAGCACCATATTTTTCTACTTCAGAGTTTCCACAACTTATTGAATCATAAGAACCAGGGTGGGGTAGGATGGGCACTGGTTAAAGTTATATCTTCTCAGGACCCCCAGCCACGCACACACACAAACACACACACACACACACTTAGAGGGTCTAATGTGGAGAGTTTCAACAGAGTCTGAGGTAATATGAATACAGTATCAACAAGCATCACAGGTGAATCCTATGAGCTTTGAGTTTCTGAAACAACGGACTATGAGGATTAGCAAGGAGAGAGATGCAGGAGAACAAGGACCATCTTGTCAGGGGCATTCTGAGGGACCACATCCTAGTGGGTACAGATGAGCATGGGTTTTAAAGAAGAGCAAGCACGGCCACCTGGAGCCACAGCTCTGTTGCCTTCAGGACAGGAAGCAGTTTCAAAGGTAGCTTCCTATTACCTACAGGACTGCACAGGGATAAGTCACCAGATGAAATGGAGTCACCTCAAATGAATGACTCTTGGCAGGTTTTAAAAACCCTCCTTGAAAAAAATGGGCTCTTTGAGCCCTTCTACCTACCGCCTTCTGCTCGCTGAGAATCTTGCCCTTCTCATGGGCCTCCTCCTCGTGTCTCTGCATCAGGTTCTCCAGGCTCTCCTTATCTGCCAAGTCTTTCTTTATCTGATTGTCCAACACCTACAGAAACGAGAGAAGACGCCAACATCACAGGTAGCCAAGCGGGGAGCTGAGGGAGCCCAAACAGGGGCACTTGAGAAAAAAGGAGGAGGGGAGGGGGAAGCTCAGAGAAGCAAGGGCCTCCAAACTCTAGAGCTATGAGAAGGCCAAAATCAGGAGGGGTCTGTCAAACAGGATGAGATTAGGAACTCAAGGACCAACATCGAATGGCAAGTCACAGACAGATTTGAACTAGGAACTTATGTGAAAGTCAGCAGCCAAACAGATCAGAGCAGTACATCCAGAATGAGGCAGACTCCAGAATGAGCGGGAGGAAAAGATCTCTTCAGTGATCTAGAAAATAAAGTTCCTATGACTTTTAAATATTACGACTTTTTCTCAGCCAATGCACCAGTAGCTTTCAAAACATTGCTTGTTCCTAATTGTACAGAATGAATTCTGGGTTCTCCTGGGATGTGTGTGGAGGAACAGGAAGTCTGACCAAGGCTGATATTCAGAAAAGGCAGGGGACAAGAGGATGTTGCCCACCCATGAGGCAGGTGGACAGGCAATGGGTGGGAAAGACAACATAAAAGAATGCGGGGGAAATGCCACTTTCCTCCATTCTTCTTCTGATCCAGCTAGAGGGGAAGAAGTTATTGGGAACAGAAACTTTTCCCAGGGGAAGAGAAACCATGTATTCTCTGAACCAAGAACACCACTGTAAGCACCTACTATTCCCAGGAGGAAAAAAATAACAGTGATGGTGTCTGTCACCAAGCACCAGCTTGACCTAATGTTCTGCAGGGCACACCCAGCCCTGCCAGTTGCCAAAACAATAAGTGAAAAAGAAAGGAAGAAAGAAGACCTTATAAATTGCCCAAGCCTTTGACCACGACTCTATGTCTCTCATCACAGAGGATCCATTCTGCTTCCGCAAATGGCACCAACTGCATCAAGAAGGACAACAGGATACTGGGAATAAAGCTGAAAGAATTGGGGTCACGGACGGGATTGAAATGTGCCTTTCCCACAATGTCTATTGTGAAGGGGCCTGCATAGCTCATGGGGACATCGTCCCTAAAAACAGCCAGTCCACAGGGAAGGGGTCCACATGATAAAGGAAAGAACAGATTTCAAAGAGGGCTTTAAACCAAAACTGATAGATGAAAAAAATAATAATAAATAGAATAGGAGTTGGTGGAGAGGAGCAAAAGGTGGAGAGCAGGGTCATGGGAGGAGGGACGCAGCTCAATAGGATGATAGGCCGCCAACTCTCTTGGACGTCTGAGGGTGATGCTAAAATTATGAGCCAGAGCAGGGCAGAATCTAGGGTATGATCATAATTATTACTAAAATGGCCTTACATAAGCTAGAACAAGGCACAAAAAGCAGAAAAGGTTAAAAAGGAATGGTTTTGAACAGATTCCAGTAGGGCACACGGAAGAAAACAGATCTTCCCTTAACACTCCCTGGGATCTATAAAACAAAGCTCTTTCTCTCTAGAAGGTAGCAGAGATCATATAATAAGCTCCTTTTTCATGAGGAGCTAAGGCAACGAAAGACATGTGCAGAAAAAAAATCTGTTCTAAGTGATGGATACCAATGAGAGGTCTTGTGGACCAAAGAGACAAGCCTCTATTGTGAATGGGAAGCATCTCTCACCTTAACAGGACTCAACTGGCAGAAGGACAAACAAGAAGATGTAGTGGTTTGGGAGATGAGCAAGGACTTTGTTTGAAATGAGGGACCAGTGAAGACACCTAAATCAACCCAAGACAAGCATGGCTTTTGGCAGGAATGACAGTTTAATCACTCAAATCACAGAAAGGGCTTTACAAAGGGTCATGGTCATCATACTAAGGTGCCTTGGACTACTGTATACAGTCTCATTATTTTCTGAAAACTACTTTATTACAAAGATAAAAGCCTGGAAGCCAGTAAGAGTTCCAAACTAAAAGGAATAGCATATGAAATTTAAAATTCATTAAAGTAGGGCAGTTCACAGGAGAAAACTTCTTTTTTTTTGGTACTGGGGATTAAACTCAGGGGCACTCCACCACGGAGCCACATCCCCAGCCCTTTTTTTTTTTTTTGTATTTTCCTTAGAGACAGGGTCTCACTGAGTTGCTTAGCACCCTTGCTTTTGCTAAGGCTGGCTTTGAACTTGTGATCCTCCTGCCTCAGCCTCCTGAGCTGCCCCTGAGCCACTGGGATTAGAGGCGTGCGCCACTGTGCCTGGCGAGAACACTTTGAGGTCACTTCTGGGTTATTTCATACATATACATGTATATGCATATATATATATACAAATACATGGACATATATACACATTTTTTATTTGTTTGTTTGTTGTTGTTTTCTTCTTTCTGCAGTGCTGAGGATTGAATCCAGGGCTCAGGTCTGGTAGGTAAATGCTCTGCCACTGAGCTACACTCCCAACCCTTTTTATTTTTTATTTTGAGACAGCATCTTGTTAAGTTGCCCAGGCTAACTTTGAACTTGTGATCCCCCTGACTCAACCATCAAGCCTAACTCCTACACTTCTTTTAATAAAAAAATAACTGAAGTCAAGTCAGGAGTAAAAGAAGAAAGACGCCCAGGTGGTGCTGGTGGCAACGCTGTGTGAGCACGTACATGTTAGTCTCATCCCCAAGAAAGAGCCACTCAACGGAGGATACCAGCTCTGGAAGTCCATGACAAGACTGTCATAAAAGTTAACAGTCTCCTTCAACATCCGGACTGGGAAGGGGAAGAGATAATGCTGAGATATAAGGACCAACATCTGAGTCTCAAGAACCCGACAGTGGATTAAAGGCCTGGGGAAAACTGTAATGGAAACCCGCTGTGATTTTAAAATGCAACTGATAGGCTGACATGTTTCTGAAAATACAGTGGGCCAAACGAACGGGGCCAGCCCTCCTCCAGAACATGATCTAGAATTATAGATAAAATACAGAAATGTTTTCCCAGAAGTATCTATAAGCTGGCAAGAGAATCAAGATGTCATAGACAAAAAAAAAAAAAAATCTAAAGGAAAACAGAAACTGGGAGAGGTAAGAAAGATATAAAGCTGTTTTTAACCTGAGGCATTTGCTCAACCAAATGAACTTGAGCTTCAGTTCTGACAGCCTCAAACATCAAGAAGAGACAGAAATCAAAAGCCAAGAGTTACCCCTTATGGTGGGTGCACATTTTCATCCAAACCTTAACAAATTCCCACTAATAATTTTCCAAGGAAAATGAACAGCATACCAGGCACACAAGGAAACAGGCACTGTGAGGGAAGGGCAGGGATGAAAACAGCAGAGTAAAAGCAGACCTTTGAAGTACAGATCATCAAACAACGACACTTCATGCATATCAAGAAATAAAAGACTTTAAAAAATAAACGACTTGAAAATGAAAACATGGAATTTAAAAGTATTGTTTTAAACAATCTAGCAAACTTGGGAATGAACCAAACAGAAATTCTAAAAATGTACTATCTGGACATGATAGCACATGCCTGTAATCCCAGTGACTCAGGAGGCTGAGAAAGGAGGATCACAAGTTTGAGACCAGCCTGGGTAATTTAGAGAGACCCTGTCTCACAATAAAAATAAAAACGGCTAGGGTGTACTCTGTGATAAAGTGCTCGTGTATTCAAATCCCAGTACCAAAGTGAAACAAAACAAAAAACTATTACTAAAATTAAAAACTCAGTAACAGGGCTGGGGATGTGGCTCAAGTGGTAACGCGCTCGCCTGGCATGTGTGGGGCACTGGGTTCTATCCTCAGCACCACATAAAAATAAAATAAAGATGGTGTGTCCACCGAAAACTGAAAAAAAAAAAGAAAAAAAAAAACCTCAGTAACAGATTAGACACTGCTAAGAAAGAATTAGTAAACTGGAAAACAAGTCAGAAGAACTTACCCAAATGTAGCACAAAGAGACAAACAAATGGAAAATAAGAGAAAGGACAGATTTGAGGTGATATAACACACACCTAATCAAATTCCCAAAAGGAAAGACAGAAGAGATAATAACCATCAAGTTCTTGGAATTGATCAAAAAAGACATTAACCTATTCAATACTCCAGTAAATCTCAAGCAGGACAAATCAAAAGAAATCCACATCTAGACACCTCACACTAAAACTTCAGAATTAAAAATGCAGTGAAATTTTAAAGAAAAACAATAGATTACTTTCAAAGAGAACAATGTAGATTGACAGATGACTTCATAATGACAATATTAAGAGCCCAAGTTAATGGAATGTGTTTTACAAGAGTGTTTGTTACAAGAAGACAACAGCCAATGTACACTTTGATCCCATCAAAACCTCTTTAGAATAAGGATGAAAAATAAGCACATGTTCAGACAAACACAGAAGACAGCTTGTCACCAGCAGTTCTGTACTAAAGCAAGTTCTCAAGGATATACTTTAAACAGAAGGGAAAGAAGCTGAGGTTTGAGATGCAGGAAGAAAATTAAAAGTAAGGAATGTGGTGCATGCATGGCTAAATCTAAATTATCATAAACTAGCAAGGCCCGGTGGTGCATGCCTATAATCGGGTGGCTGAGGCAGGAGGATCACAAGTTCAAAGCCAGCATCAGCAAAAGTGAGGCTCTAAGCAAGTCAGTGAGACCCTGTCTCTAAATGAAATATAAAAAGGGTTGGGGTTATGGCTCAGTGGTGGAGTGCCTCTGAGTTCAATCCCTGGTACCAAAAAAAAAAAAAAAAAAAAAAATCTAAATTATCATAAACTGAGTGGTAGCAGTCTTTAAAAAATGTTTTTAATGGAATTGAAATATATAATGGCCAAAAATTTTTTTTTGAACTTCAGACCCCAAACTTCCCATCATGGAGTGAGTATAGCATTTACCCCAAATAGTCCTTTGGTTTATCAAGAAGTGGCCCTAAGTACCCAGGAAGAGAAGAAAGCCATATGGTCCTATAGAAGGAAGGCCAGAGAAGACCAGAAAGTATCTTTACTTTAATTTTTTCCTCGTAGTGCTGTTCTTTCTGCTTCAGGTGTACTTCTAGGTGCTGAGCTGAGATCTGGGCCTCCCGGTGTTTCTCCTCCAGCTCCTGGACACGAAAGAAGAGATGGTCAGGTGTGCCAAAGGAAGGACACAGCCAATGTACCTTAGACACCCAGAGGAAACAAGACTTTAGCACAGGTGCCACAGGTAACAGGTAGCTGCTTCTCCATTACTAGCCTAAGGCTCTCAGGAAGGAAACCACCACAGTGCCTTGGCCCTGGTTTTCCAAGTCCAAGTATTCGCACCACATATGTATACACAGCTGTGAGGCTGTGAGGCCTGGGATCAGATATATGTCAGCACGACAGGTCACACAAAGGCAGCTGTTCAACTTTGCACGGAGAAATGAGGATTACAAGGCAACACTTGGAAGTTTGGTCAGCACAGAGCCCTTGATCACTGTCTTGAGCCTCAGGCCATTTTCGCTCTTATGGCAGCCTTAAATGAGAAAAGTAATTTTGATTTATTATGTGATCAACAACATTTTGTGTTTCGTTCATTAACAAAATTATTGCTCAAGAACCCTAGCTAAAAAGGAAAACTAGTGTTACAATTCAAACACTTTGAGATCTGAATGATTACTTTAGCCAGCTGCTATGTGGAGAATGTGAAGATCAGGAGATGTGTATGTGACATAACGTAGACACGAAACAATGCTCATGGGAACAAAGACAAACACAAAACACACTGGTAATAATGACAAAAAATACATGCATTCGTATTAAAGATGGGAAGAGAATATGGAGTAATATAAATAACTTAAATTTGAGGTTTGCCGAGTCCTTTTATTGTTAAGCTTTCTGCTTTTAAATAAAATTGTAATTCATTTGAAAATTATAGCAACTCATTTGCCAATGTATTATAAACTGATCTTTTAAAGGTAGTATTCAATTCATTGAACCATTCTCTAAATGCACAGAGAGCTGCATCTAAGTTAATTCTTATGAATCTGGACCCATTAGTTAATTACTGATATCAAAAGTCATTACTCCAAGTTTTCATCTCTTCGCACTATTATGAAATTTTTCTTTGAAGTGGAAGCAATTATGGGAATTTTGAAGAATGAGGAAATTATACAGGATATGTCCATAAAATGGGAGGAAAAAAGTACTTTGCGATTCACATGCACATAAAATGTTAGTGATTAAGCTTTTGAAATTTTAAAATCTGCAAGCATGGGCTTTGTTTGGGGGCCATTGAAATGCTCAATCTTAAGACCAGGTGCACAAAATCTACTGCAATATAACAGATGTGATCTTGTAAAGTTGAACGTAAACAGGATTCTAATTAATAAAAACATTGTTAAGGGCTTTATGTGTACTCGCTAAAGTATTGCCTGCAATGACTTCTCTGATTAAAGCAAAAGACTTTGCTGTAATAAGAGTCCCAATTATCTGTTTTGAAAGTTCTTATCAGAATAGCAAATATTTTAAAGCAAAATGACATTTTGGAGTCTGTTTCCAAGCATCACCATTACGTAACAGTATTAAGGACCACTCTTTGCCCATGTCCTAGATACTTTGCAGCCTCAGCACAGGGTTCTTGAGCAAAAGGCACCTTCTGTTAAATGAAGTCACAACCACAAAGGTACTTGGGCAGGTGGCAAGATACATTCAGACAAAGAAATCCACTTGTTTTTCCTTTCAGTTAGAAATCACTTGATAAGCATCTTTCCTTATTTCAGTCTTCATAACATGGCACAGAAAAGGAAATCAGAATCTAAAAATAGGTCCAAAATCAGATACTGAGACTGACGACTTTATGACCAAATTTCTGGTCTACATATGAATAGGAGTTTATAACACATAATCCAGGAGTGCAGGACTCTATATTGTTACATTTTAATTACCAAAAAACCTTTGGAGAAACAGAAATCAAAAATCTGGCTGTTTGGTGGTTTGGCATTTTTTGTTGTTGTTGTCATTTTTCAAACGGATCTTTTTCTATATGTTTGGATTGACCCTTTAGTCACGTTATACAAAGACTGTTGTTGTTCACTGCTATATTTCCAGCTCCTGGAACAGTGCCTGACACATAGTAGAAGCTCATTAAATATTTGTTGAATGAATGAATGAACACATCACCATTAAACAGAGAAACATTTTGTAACCACAAGAGAGTTAACCACTTTGTACCAAACAAGAGATACTGGTGGTGGAATCTAATCTCATTCACGATAAAATTTCACATACTTGACGATAGCCAAGAGAAACTTAGATGATGGAACAAGAGGACAGAAAGGGTAGACTAACAGTCACATTCGTCTTTGTGTGCAGACATATAAATATATAGTATGTGTATATATATATATACACACACACATGAAGACTGGGTGTCAAGGGAAAACAACTCAACCAACCCCTCTTTTACCTGTTTGTTCAAGAACATCCATATATTCACTGGTATACACAAACGAGAAACAGTGTCAAGTGTCAGGGTGTTGGGGTTTGATGTTAAGTACTGTATGAGCCTATAAGTTGGCCATTCTTTAGTTTGTATAGTTGCTGGTGCCTCATTTCCCAGAGGTGATGCGAAGAGAGAGAGATGACTTGGCCTGCCCTCCACCTCACCTTTCGTGGAGAGGAACCGCCCAATTACTTTGGAGCCTTGCCAAGGGGTAGGACAGGAGGGAGTTATGAAGGGATCCCAGGTCACCACTGAGTCTTTCAAACGTGATATCAAATTTCTGGTTTGGGGACTGAGATCCAAGGAGAGAGCCCTTCGAGGGCCTGCCTTCTTCCCTGGCAGGGACAAAACTTCAATGTAACTGCACCTTGAGCCACCTGGGCCTTCCTCCATGAGGTTAATTTGGCCATCAGAGCGTGAGACAGAATCAGGATAAGAAACCTTAAAAAAGACCTGCCATATCTAAGGAAATTGAAAAAAATAATAATAATAACCAACTGTAGCAGAAAAAGTGAGTGGGTGAACATGGATCTATGACAAATACTACTCTGAGAAAAATAATTCTGTATGACTAATTTCTTCTCTCAAAGCAAGAACACAGGTTTCAGCCTTAAAGGTCTAAAACCCCAACAGCTTTTTAAACTGGCAATGCAAAATTAATGGCCATACAAAGCTCTGCTAATAGAAGGATGTAAATGCTCCTATAAAAATATATCAAAAATAATAGATGCATGTTCGACTAAAATAAAAAATGCCAGGCAGTAGCAAACAGAGCAAAAAATAGTACTGACGGATCTATTACCAGTGCCGAAACGTCCGATATTAGGTCATTCATACTGTTCTGGGATGTGGTACACACTGAAACCACCTCTCTTAATTCACCAAGTTGGTGAAACCTCCCATGTGATAGCATTTAATTCTCCTCCTTACCCCCTTCCCTTTGCAACCTCTGACCTGTTATCTTTGAACTTTCCAACTTTCATTCCTGCTCACCAGAATTTTATCAGCCATCTGCTGGATCTGTTGGGATTTTGTCTGGATGTCATCCTTCAGTCTGTTTTCTCTACGCTCCATGGTCTCTAGTCTCTTTACCTTGTTCTCCAGAGAATGGCGGCGTTCCTGTAGATCATGAATCAATCAGAGAGTTTTAATGGAGCAACCGCTACGGGTATATCACCTGCACCATGGGAAAGAGCCCTCAAGAAGCATACACTCGAATCAGGAAGAAAAGTCTCAGGCACCTGAAGCAACAGCGAGGAAAATAAGACTCTATGATTCAGGTGCCCAGCTGTGTAGATTACAAGAGTGCATTCATTCATTCAAATATTTACCAAGCACCTACTATCTGCAAAGTACCACACTAGACCTCACGGGAAATACGAGAGGAAGAAGAGCAATCCCTGCCCTTGGAAAGAGAGAAGGCGTACACAAGTCACACCACACAGGCTGAGAGGGGGAAGACCCACAAAGCACACAGGGACAAGCACTGTGGTGGGGGGGACAAGCAGGAAAGGGGACTTTTAACAGCAGAGTGATACAAGTGCGAGCTGTGAGGAGGGACGGTGTGGGGAGGTTTGGAGTGGATGGGGGTGGGGGACAGGAAGGCGGATGGCATTGCACACAAAGAAGGCCTGCTACCAGAAACATGGAGGTGAGAGCCAACTTAGGCCCCAAGGAAAGCCAGACTGGCTACAGCACAGGATAGACAGGGGACCAAGCAGCTGAGAAGGTGAAAGGATAGCATTTGTGGGTAAAATGTGAAGAGCTTCCTGTACTAGGCTCAGGGGTGCACCTAGGATACATGGGACCCCTGAAATAGTTGGGGTGGGGCAGGGGTCCCCAGGGGCCATGAATCTGTGCAAGTGAGGTGGAAGAAAAAGGATCAAGAAATCACTCCATTAGTTAGCTAAAAGGAAAAGGGTTCGGACCAGATGGCAACAGGAACGGCAAGAGTGGGTGAAGGGGAGGGAGGGAGCATCTCTTATGGGACTGAGTGACTCATTGAATGGCAGGGCCCAAGGACTCAGAGAGGACACTAAGGTTTCAAGCCTAGTGTGACCAGAAGAACGATGGTGGCCCTGACTGGCAAGAGAAAACTAAAAAGGGGAACCAGCTTGTGGGGAAGGAGACTCGACTAAGTTCATTCTAAATTTAAGGCACTGTTCAGACATCCAGCTAGGATTTCAAGGGAGCAACGGGAAATAGAGCCAGGAAAGAGCCACAAAGAGCCACATACCAGCAGATTTCCACCCAGACTGTGACGGGAAATGCAAAGACCCAGCAGGAGAGAGAAACAACTACAGCACATGCATTCTGCGGGACAATCACCAAGGGCTGGGGAGGCAGAGACCAGCAAAGAAGTGTCACTTTTTACCCTACACTTATCTGTGCAGTTTTAAGTTTTGACAGTGAAAAGGCACTCCCGTATTTTCTGTGTGATTATATAAATGATTTCAAAACAACAACAACAACAACAACAAAGAATTCGAGGGAGAGAAGAGGCCCCAAAATGTGGATCTGAGAGTCGTCCGCACGCGGGGAGCAGGGGAAGATCAATATGTTATTAACACTGTCGAGAAGACGGCAAGGCAAACAGGAAGGGGAAGGAAAACTCCGAGGTGGCCAGACAGGGGGCTGACACACTATGAATGCTCCCAGATTGGCCAGGAGCTCAGAGGGAAGCGGGCAGACAGGAAAGCTCTTGTGGAGGCATCTTTCACTTTGGAGCTGTGGAGACAGATCTCTTTCCTCTTGGGGAGAAGCTTTCCAGGCCTGTCAAGTTTCAAAGGGATCTTCAGAAGGGAAGCAGTTTGGTCAAACATAAGCAAGTGACGCTCTGCAGCTTCTTTCCCTGGGCACAGCTGAGGCCGGTCGTGCGGGCGCCTGGGGGCAGTCCACCGCGGGCTGGAGGCCCCTGCTCACCTCGGCTTCCACCAGCTTCTTTCTTATGCCTTCAGAAGAGTCTTCTCGGTTCTGCAGCTTCTCCAGCTCCCTCTCGGCTCGCTCCTTGGCCTGGCGGATGTTCTGCAGCAGCTCGGTGGCCTCTGTGCTGGCTTTTACCGCCTGTGAGGAAAGAAGGTGCAGGGCACAGAAATCCAAATCCACTCAGTGAAAAAGATGGTGACATGCCCTAAGTGGTACTTTCAGGGAACACTGAGAGTACACTCTCTCCATCTCCCAAAACAGTAAAAGCGTTCTTTCTATTCTGTATTCCATCTATGCTAAGGTGCTACTTTATTTTTAACATCCCTGAATTTGGAATGCATCCTACAATGAAGATTGATGCATTTTTCTTTCTTGTAGTACATAAAATAATGGTGTACCTGATAATCATTTGCATCTTTAATTCAATGTAATGTCGTGAATGCAAACAAAAAGGTCTAGATGGATTGACCTATCTAGCAATTAAAGTATTTACCTCTGATCATTAATTTCCTTCTTATTTTAATTATCTCGTTTGCTAATTTTCCTATGGGGAATTTGCACTACTCTTACAAGAAGAAAACAAGATAAAAGCTATAATTTAAATATTTTTCTTTAAATAAGTCCCTTTCAAAGGTTAGGCATAGTATTAATGATAATTCACAAAATCCAGATTTACAGGGAAAAAAACTAAACCTCTTAAAGTTTATTCTGTATTTACTAATTTTTATTTTGGCCATAAATACACTAGTGGTCTTATAGCACCATAGGAAAGGAAAGACCCAAATTCATGGGACTAACAACTTCACACGTATTTTGCTTTAAATCAAAATTTTAAAAAGTAGTGGGGCTGGGACTGTAGCTCAGTGGTAGAGCACTTGCCTTGCATGTGTAAGGTACTGGGTTCGATCCTCAGCATCACATAAAAATAAATAAATAAATAAAGATATTGTACCAACTACAACTAAAAAAAAAAATTTAAAAAAAAAAAGGAGAAACTGCAAGAAAACGCCAACTCCGAGACACGCACTGTCCCGTAAGGGAGCCTCTAGCCCCATGTGGTCACTGAGCACTTGAAATATGGCAGAAAATTCACTTTTTAAATTTTACTTTTGAGTTTAATTTTAAGTTAAATGAAAAGGGGAATTGGTGTCTGGCGAGTATAGAGTTTTGATATAAGAAGATGAAAAATTTCCAGAGATATCGCCCAACCACATTGAATGTACTTAACTTTACTAGACCGTACACTGAGAAATGGTTATTTAATGTTATGTGGAATATTTTTAATCACAATAATAATAAATAAATAAATATTGGCTCTATTAAACCAAGCCAGCCAACACCTACACAAACACTCTGACAGGAGAGGCATGTCCCAGAACCAAATTCATTCCAGCCCTTGAGTTAAGCATCTAGTGATTGGACAAAGGCAAGGCTTGAAAACTGAAAAGTTCTCACCACAAATAAATAAATAAATATATGGAGTGACAGGTGTGTTAATTACCTTACTTCACAACTGAGGGAACAAATCGGAGCACCATGGTATACGTTATAAACAGAGGCAATTTTTATTTATCAAGTTATATCTTCATAAAGCTAAGGTAATAATAAGTCAATAAAAATTATTAATAAAAATAGAAGCAGGGGATTAACAAAGATTTTGCAGGACACTATCTACAAACACTACCCCCCACCATCACCAACCAGGGGATGACTCCAGGGATCCCCCAACCATCCTCCGGGCAGTCATGCTTCTGATAGAACGGCCCAGGCTTCTCCCACAAATGTGCAAACCGGGAGCCTGGCCCCCTGAGGCGCGAGAAGCCGCCTCCCGGGTGCTGTTGTAGTATAATTAGAACTTTTACTTGAGAGTCTCACACAGCTTGGTTTTTAAAAATAAACACTGCTGACACGTCTCAAAAGGAAAAAGTATATTCAGAACTCTGATATTTTCAGGTAATAGCTCCCTCCCCCTTCATTTTCCTCGGCTCTGAGTGACTAATTCTATTTCTTTCATCTTCAGTGCTCTGGGACAAGGCAAAGAAAAGTCTATGGAAATGGGGGGAAGTTCCTGAGAAATCACCCCGGGCTTACCTTTTCCAGCTTTTCTTGGAGCTCCCGGATTTTGAGCTGCTGCTCGGCATTGATCTATAATTGAAATCCCAGGAAATAAGGAAAAAAGGTAAATCAGCATTAACATCTGCATTTAGTGCAGTTCCAGTCCCTGGAGGTTTTCAGGGGGGTCTTGGGGGTTTGTCTTCCAAGACCTGCTCAAGGTGAGGAGGAGCGGTGGCCTATCAGAGAAGTCTGTGGATGTCGGGTGCAAACTTCCATGAGGACTTTTCCTCTAGGACAAATAACACGTATGTAGCCAAAAGACTAGAAGTCGCAGAGTGCTCCCACGCAATGGGAACTCTCATTCATGTTTTATTAAGTGTCTGCGTTTATGTGTTACTGTGAGGAAGATTGACAAAAAATGAAGTGTCCTTTATCCTTCTGAGAACCAGAGCTAAAGCTCAACATGGTCACCCGAGGCAGACCATCGAGAAAACCTGGAGGGGCTGGGAGCACAGCTCAGGGGTTGAGCATGTGTTCGACTTGGGGTTGCATCCCTGGCACCAAAAAATTAAAGAAAATAAAGTAAAATAAATGTAGAAGAGATTTCTCGAGTCTTTGAGAAAGTATTCTTAATCGATGACTCAATACTGACAGCAATATTTAAAAATCTACCCCACAGAGCAAAGCCAATCACAGAAAATATACCTTCTCAAGTTTGGAATATTCTCCTGCTTCAGGCTTCCCTTGATCCTTAGCCTGTAATTACAAAGGTAAAACACACTGGGAAATCTTAACAACCTAAAAGTCTTATAGACAACAGCACCAATTTTACTTTCTTGGTCTCTGAGACCAAAATAATAATAATAAACAATAATAATGTTATCTCCTGTAAGAAAAAGATCAGGAGTTTTCCAAAAACATCCCATTATTTCTCAAACCTATACTCACTAAGCTAGTGCTCCCTTGTGTCTTGCTAAGATCATCCATGACTGTGCCCAAAGAGCATCCTCCTGGGGGATGGCTGACTACCTTCATCAGTTTATGCTGACATTCTGTCGCTTTCCGCTTGAACTCTTCGGCGGCAAGCCGAGACTCTCTCAGCTCAGATTCGTACAGATCGCTTCGTCTTCTTGCTGAGACAAGATCCTCTTCCAACTGATTCATCATCAGCCTCATTTCTTCCACTTGAGCCTGGTACTCCTAAAGAGCAGGCAATGCAACAAAGGTGAACTCTGGAACTCCGGGAGGAAAAGACAGGCTACCGACCATGGAGGGAGAGGCACGTTGACAGAGAAGGACAGAGGACCGACCCACAAACAGAGAGAGGTGAGTGGACAGACAGACCCAGCAAGAGACAGAGTGGGCAAAGGGGAGGAGCACCAGGAAGAGGAGGGAGCAGATTAGATCTCTACACTGCCTTCCTGTGTATCATGGATCTCACACGCCGAAAATAGGATCCTCTGAGCAAATGACACCACACATTATGAGCTGCACCTTAAGGCAGAACTCAGGAGCGTGTAGAGGGCTGTCCTTTAGACGAAGATAAACTGCTTACGTGTAGTTCTCCTCCAAGGGTAATCATTCCTATAGATTTGTCCTTTAGAAGTCATGTGCTCCTAACACAATTAGACATGGTACTAGTTTTAAAATTAACCTTTCAGACGGCACCAGAGGGTAATTGGAAGTCTCAGTGGAAAGCATCTGAGAAGGTGAAACTCATCATTGTCAGTTTCTCACCATTAATTTTTCTGGCCCCAAAATTGAAGGATGAGCTTAACATTGCTCCTGCAAAGCAAGTCACCCTGAAATCTGGAAGAATCACAAAACACTGGCTCTGGATAAAATAACTCGTGAGGAAAAAGTCTCAGGAAAGAATTATCTCATTCCCCAGAGCAAAAATTTTTCAAGTGATCCAAACAGCCCTGACCTTTTCAAAAATGAATTGCTAAAATCAAAACACAACATTTGAACGGAGATTTTTTTTTTCCCATGATGGGATTTACCAGATGAAATGGGCAATGGTTTTGAAAAATTCTGGATCAAGTATAAAGAAAGATATTCTTCATTAGCAAAGTCAAGGCTAAGTATAAGGATTATATCTGAATAAGCACTAATCAAATCCAAGGTGACTAGGGTGGGGAGGAGGTATAATATGAAAGGTACAAGGGATTAAACAAAAGACTGTCTTCGATGTTCATAAAACACAGCAACGCCTCCAAGACCTCTTCTCCCAGGAAATAACTGGTAAGGGATTTTTTTTTAAACCAATAAGTTTGCCATTTATGCTTTTTTAATAACAGGATATTAGAACACTTTTTGTCCCACCATAACAGGTGATCTCTTAATATGCATGAAGGGGAGGTGATGTTTTTACAAAGAGCGGTAGTTTCCATGTAAGCAGCTCTTCCGCTCCAAAGGTAGAGAGGAAAGGAAAATGTGAGCCCAAGGAAGGGTGTGGGTCTCACTTCACTCTCTCCCACCCAAAATACACTGTCACTCAAGTACAGTTTAGGATGCTGGGCACGTGGACCCTGGGTGGGGCACACTGAGTAATGATGCTTCATAGCCTGCATACGATCATCAAAACCCATCAGAATTCACAACACAAGTGAAATGGTGTATGTGTTTTGCTTGGGGTTTCTGGACCCTCCTCTGCCAGGGCCACATATGACAGTGACTTTCGTGACTTTTGACACTAGGCCTGCCCTGGCTTCTTCCCCCAATCAAAAGAAAAAAAAAAAAAATTACATGTATATATAAATGCATACACGTATATACACACATATGCATAAATGTTTTATAACTGCATTTATTTAAATATAAGAATGTCAATATTATCTATGTATTTGATATAAAAGTTCAATTCTTTTGGAAGGATTTAAAAAATAAGTATTTTACATGACCCTAAAAGTATAGTGGCCCCTTGTCCCTGAGCCTGCTGTGCCTAATGGGAAAACCAGTCCTGCCCACACATAAACCCCAACTATGAGGGCAGTAAAGGGCTGAGGAGTCTCAGGCATCTATTGTCCTCAAGCTCTCTTTTTGGTCTTGAATTTATGTGAGTGCCGAGGGAACGTAATTTTTGTGTTTTGTCAGGAGCAAGGATAGAACGTCTGTCCCACTGGGCCCCCGTCATCTCTCCTTCCTGAGCTGTCAGCACCCAGGGGAAAGAAGGCAATATCCTTGTCGTCTATCGGAGCTCTTGGATCACCTGACCTGTTACAGGCAGCAAAAGGAACCTAACACATTTGCTGATCTTCTGTTATTAGACTGGAGACTTCAAGGAAATCCTATAAATCCAACAGCTAACCAAATCCCTATTTGGGGAGAAAGCTGAGAGATGATCGGTCTGTTCCCAGGGTTGCTGGGTGACAGCTGTCAACTCTGAGTATGGGACATCTGTGGGCAAGAGCTGGGCAGGTCAGAGGAGGAACCAGGGACAACTATGATGGCCCATCTAAAGTAACTCTTCTGAATGGAGCTTCAGAGTTTGGGGGAAGGAAGGAGCAGGCATGGTCCTATTCATCCAGATACCCCCCAAAAACAAAAGGCTTTGGGGTAACCACACCTCTATTTCCTTTCCTGAGGAGGGGATGGGTGAGGAGGAATCAGCAGTTGCTATAACAGTGCCTGAATCAAACTATCCCAAGTGACCTTAAGGTATTTTCATTTAAAGTCGAATCCAAATACTCTATAAGGGGTAGCTAGGTAGGTAGAAGGAATATATATTTTTTAAAAACTAAACCGTTGTACAGAAAATTAGCTTTTTAAAGGAAGAACAGGGAATTAATCCCAAATCTGGGAGGAATCAATATGCTGAAAGACAAATACTGGAAGTTTGCTGTAAGCATTAAAAGCTTTTTCCTGGTTTGCAAATATCCTGCTCTCACAAAACATATCACAAGTTATTTCAGTGTATCCTCCTTTCAGTGAGAAATACAATCTGAAACCAAGAAGATTTCTTCCCCCAAATGGAACTTTTAGCAGTCATTAAATCTAAAACTCCACATGTATGCCAACTGTGATATGAATCATAAAAGACATTTCTTTGAACTCAATGACCAGCATAAACCTTTTCAAAATGTCCTGATAATTCTGTTTCTATGGAATTTATGGACCCCAGCTGCTCCCTCTGGTGGCCAAACACAGCTTTCATTTCCCCAGGACGTCTCCAAAAAGTAAAATTTCCAAACACATTGAACTAGTGAGAGAACAAGAATCCTACCTCCTGAAACTTTTAGGATGAAAAACTACATTGATAAAAGGGGCATGAGTCACCTGTCAAAGCAGAGTTCTCAGAGTGTGTGTGTTCCCTTCAACATCTCTAAGGTTAGTATTGTTCAGAGGAGCCTGGTGATCCGCTTGCAGTTTCCTATGCACATTTATTTATAACAATTTTATCACGCAGGGGGATATTAATCTATCACTTAAAATATCAAGGGGACAAACATAGTATGACAACAGGGCGCCCCCCCCACAAAGCACTCTTTTCTTTAAATGGATCAAGTCCTTTGCAGGAGCTTCTCGGGTTCATACCACCCAGATGGCCAAGTCTGTGCTACCCCAAGATGAAAATGCTCATTTCCATCAGTGTTCCCATTAGGTTTTCTGAAGTGAATGAGAGTTGCCTGGCAGCTGATAATTCAGCTCTCCAATTACTCATTGCCATCTATTCATTAAAGTTTCTATTTACAGTTTCTTCAAAAGACAGAAAAATCCATGCTAAAAAGGAAACAATGAGGCAATATAAAAAATGAGCCATCTAGAAAGAAAACCCTTTTAGAAAGGAGGAAAAATATAAAGAGAGAGGGAGAGTGGGCTTTTTAAAGACATCGGTTCCCTTTTCTGAACACACAGGGGACGGTTTTCTGCTTTCGGATATGGTTATGTTCATCCTGACTTGGCCTGAATGGCTCAAAGTTTTCTTCTAGGATATTTTTTTGCATAAGTAAAACTATGAATTATCCTGGCTCCTCTCAATGTGGGTCTGGAAGGCTATAAAAATATTTAATATTTTTGGAAACATCTAAAGCAATGGTTAGCAAATTTTCTCTACAAAAAGTCACAGAGTGAGCAGTTTCAGCTCCGCAGACCAAACAATCTCTGTGACGTTTCACCTCTGCCTCCACAGAGTGAACCGTAGCAGTGACAGACAGGTTAATGAATGAGCATGGCTGCGCTCCAGGAAAACCGTACTTATGGACACAGAAATTCGGATATCATGAAATTTCCACATGTCACAAATTATTATTATTTTTCTTTTGATTTTTTTTCCCAACAATCTAAAAACATAAAAACCATTCTTGGCTTATGAGCCATAGGAAAAAAATGGTGGGTCAGATTTATCAGAGGCTGAAGTTTGCCTAACTTTGCTCTGAACCAACAACTTTTTAAAAAGAGTAGACATTATGGGATGAGACTTCAAAAAGAGTTGCACAACAAGCACAGTATGATTTATATAAACCATGGACAATCTCAAGTGACCTACCTACCTTCTTCTCCCCCTCCAACCCCATTCTCTCTCCTCCCCCACCCTCACCCTCTCTATCTCTCAAACATGCCTGAACTTGGAGGACCCCAGCCGGCCAAGTGGCTGCTCTGCTCCAGGCAAGCTGTCGTACCTGCTCTTTGATTTCTTGGAGCTTCCGGCTCTGCTCTCTGATGTCATGGAGAAGCTGCAGTGCTTTGTCATCCTCCTGGGACACCTCCATCCGTGCTTGCTCCAAACTTCGCTTTAAGCTCTGCAGAAAGCAAAAATTTTAATAGGGATGCTCCACGGATCCTGCTCTGGTTGAAAAGATTCATTAAGGGAGCCGCAAGCTGCTTCGCCGACACCAGCACAGTTTCAGGTGACAGACCAAAGTTGACAATTTCCAGTTGGTTGCCGATTCCAGTTTTTCATCCTGTAAAACCCCTTGATTCAAGAAACATCTCAAGCTTGTGACCTTATGGATCCAGCCTAAAACTCTATCAACCCTGCCACCATCTACCTAATTCCATCTCCTGCACCATCTACCTAATTCTCGAAGGTACTTACTTGTATGTATAGGAGTAAAAACCAGTAAGATCCCTCGGCCATTAAACCACCATCTAGTCTTTTCTGTTACACTAACTATTCAGGGACCCTCAGGTAGATATGCTTCTTTCAAAGCTGCAATTATTTCCTCTACCCAGTTGTTATTTGAGAGTTCAGTGGACTATCTCCCCTTCCTGGCTAATTTTTCTTGAACACCTATCATCCATAAGGTTCCCTCAATGCTTCAATGGCACTGAAATATGTATCTGAAATACACAGCTGAATAACTTCACCCACCACTGAAAGGCAGCCAAGTCTGGAATGGAAACATAGCAGTTATTCTTAATCAGCCACGTTCTATAGATTTCCTCTCCCTTGTGGGGAGAAAAAAAAAAAAAAAACTTTAAAAATGTGTGATTCAACTTCTTAAGACTGTTTTTAATTGGGCACATTAAAAAAACACCTGAATGAAAAATTTAACGAGACAATGGAGAAGACAGTCTACTCTTGTGAAGGAAAGAAAAAACAAAAGTCACATGGTAAATGACAGCTGTCACTACACTGTTTCTAGGGAATGGGAGATTGATTGGGGGCAGGTTGGAAATGTTTTCTTGTATACATTTGGGAGTTTGGTTCCCAAGGCTGATTGTTTCGGGCATGGTGTGGACCAGAGAGGTTGGGATGGGAGATGTTAGGACCCTCTGCAACTTGCTGCAGTGACGGCTGACTCCCATCTCCAGGCTCCGTGGTATCAGCAGCCTATCTCGACCTTCTGTGGGAAATGAGTGCAGCCTCCTTCCCCAGGGACCTCACACCTGGTTCGTGCTGCTCTGAAATCGCAGATCTCGTCTTGCACTCTCCCTGTCTCTACTCTCTGCCACTGGCTGTGATGTGCCTCATGAAGCTGTCATGAAACAGGATGAGACACACACAACAGGAAGTGCCACCTCCAAGGGAAGGGGGCTTTGGGGAAGGCTCACACTGCATTCTGTGATGTAGGTGGCAAGGTCCTGCTCCAGGAGGGATCTCTGAGTCTCAGAGGCCTTCAGCTCCACCTCCTTCTGACTAAGCACAGCCTCCACCTCTGACACTCTCCGATGTAACCGGGTCATTTCCTGCTCCATCTGAAACAGACACATCGACAGGTTAAAAGGGCCCCTGGAGGTCCTTCGGAGCAATCAAATCCCAAGCAGCCTCCGAAACCACCTGGTGGTCTGGGCTACTGCTAAATCGCCAAAAGTTGGGGTTGGAAATACCATTGTTTCTTCGCCCGGGAGCACACAGGTCTTCGCAAGGACAGTCACCAAACGCTAAGTCACTCCTCTCATCCAAGTCCTGCTTCACACTTGGTCACTTCTCTAACCCCGTTAGCAAGGAAGCCACCATCATCATTTTTCACCTGTTTGCTTTTTGCTTTTGTTTTTTGTTTGGCTTTTGCAGACGTCACTTTAAAATTTATCCCAAATCCATCTTGATCCCCCCCATCTCCTTGCAAAGATCTAGAGGGCAAATCCAGGACAGGGCAAGGAGCTATGTGTGCGTCTGCACTCTCAGAGGAGTCCCAGGCAAGCAGTGGCCTTTATTAGTTTCCAGAGAGTTGTCTCTGGGCAGGAGCAGTGAGTGTTAACAGACGTGGAGCATAATCAACACAGTGGCCGCAGTGACAGAAGCAGGAGTTTTTAAGGACTAGGAAGAGAGACTTCTCATCACTCAAAGCAGATGGGATGCATCTCAGCCACAGGTGAGGACCCCCGCCACCTGCCGGAAGGAGCAGACTTCGGGCTGGGTCATGCTGAGAAGCGGGCCGTTTTAAATCCAGGGCCTCCTCTGGTTAAGATTTAAAGGATTGACGGCAACGTCAAGGCCCGAATTCATCTCCCTCTGAGCTGCTGGAGGCGCGACTTCAGCGAGGGAGGGACGGCCTCGCTCTCTATGGATCAGGCGGCTCAGTGCCAGCAGCGGCCCCAGGCGGGTCCCTTGGCATATATTGACGGGAGGATCCTGGAGCAAGGAGGGAGGCCGACTGCAGAGATAAATACCTTGTGACACTTGTCCTGAGAGTCTTGCAGCTCTTTGCTTTTGATGAGAAGTTTCTTTTCCATGGAGCTAGTCTTGGCAGGGGAGTCCAGACCCGACACAACAGACCTGGACAGAAGAAAAACAGAGTCAAGGAGGCCCGCAGGGGAGCCTGAGGCACCGAGGCAGAGACGAGGGACCTTTTAGTGTTCTGGAGCCACCAGCAAAGCTGGCTCAAGTGGCTTCTCATGACATCAAGGCCGTGAGGCAGAGGGGTGGAAGTGGGGGAGGACTCTGATGCAGGTAGCCCTGTGTGAACCGAGGCACCATGGACCTGAGGCAGGGACTCCGCCTCTCTGAGCTCAGTCTGCATATCCGGGGGGTGGTGTGATCAGAGGAACAAGGCCCACAGGCGAGTGCACACGGGAAATGCCCAGCATCGTGCCTGGTGTGCTTCCTCCACTCATACACTCTGTTTCAGTAACCTTCTGGGCACTGGCACAAGACAGTGATCGAGACACAGGGGTCCCTGCCCCCTGGGAGCTGACGTTCTGAGAACGTCAGGTAGATTCATAAACAAAAAAGATAACTTTGACAAAAGGAAGAAATGGAGTGGGGCTGGGGACCTGTTTTAAGCCAGGGAGATCAGGGAGGGCTTTTCAGAGGAGAAGACATTTGACCTGAGACCTAAAGGATAAGAAGGTGCTGGCCATACAAAGCTCTGGAAGGAAACAGGGAGAGGGTGCAAAGGCCCTGCGGCAGAAAGGAACTGACACAGCAAGTGCACGATGAATGTTATTAGTCACTACACTGATCAAGGTGTCACCCCTTGCCCCGGCCCAACCCAGCCAGTTTGGTTTTGTTTCATTTTATAAAAACAGCTAATGCTTATGATGACGTGCCAAATAATGCCCACTTTCCCTTCCCCAAGAAGGTCTATGTCCTAATCCCCAGAAGCTATGAATATGTTACCACATGTGGCAAAAGGTGCAGATTGGTTAAATTAAAGGTCTTGAATTAGGGTGCTGTCTTGGATTACTGAGGTAGGTCCAATGTCATCACAAAGGTCCTCACTAATGGAAACAGAGGAGGGCAGGAGACGTGACAGTGGAGGCAAGGGTCAGAGATTTGAGGACACTACACTACAGGTAGCTGCTAGAAGCTGGAAAAGGCAAGGAGACAGATTCTGCCCTAGAACCTCTAGGGAGTGGACAGCCCTGTCTAGACTGATCTCAGCCCAGTAAAACCCATTTATGACTTCTGACCCCCAGAACTGTAAGATGATAAACTTGTGTTGTGTAAAAGCCACTACGTTGGTAATGATTTGTTACAGCAACAACACAAAACTCACACTCTTATTGAGCCCTGGCCCACACCTGGTTCTATTCCAATGTTAGCCATGTTTTAACTCTTTACTCCTCACAACAAGCCGATGAAGTAGATATAATTTATTATCCTCATTTTCGGATGAGGAAATTGAGGCCTAGGGAGGTTGAGTAACCTGCCAGTTGACAAATGGCTTCTGTTGCTCTCAATAGGGAGCTGGGGGAAAGAGACTGGCTTTATGCACCCAATATAACTCTCCGGAAAACATCACAAAAATAATGTAACAGGCAGTAGACCAGGATGCTCTCCCCACAGAAAGGACAAACTTAACCCCACACAGTGCTCATCCTGAGAAGCAGTTGACTAACCCCAGAGGAGATGCAAGTTCTCATTCAGGGCAGCCTCCCTCAGTGGTTGGTACCTGGGTACAAACCTGGCATCGGTGGAGGGCAGGCCCAGGTGATATCAAGCAAAGTCTCTCACACATGGAGGGACATGGCAGACCCCACCCCTTACGCACAGTCTGTCTTTGTCACCTTGCTCACAGGATTGTAGGACCCGGTTATCAATGACTCCTTGGGTCTTCCTGTCAGACAAGTTCTGCTTTCTGCTGCCCCAAATGACTTCCCTGCCTAAAAGAGGTCAGTTCCCTGCAGCAATGCAAAACACCTCTCTGCCCAATGACAAGGGCTGGCATGATCTGTGCTGGCTGGCTATCCCCCAGGGACAGTTCTGCACACTCACACCATGGAGCAGCCAAGAGCATCAACACCCTAAGTCCCACTGCTCTGTTCAAAATCTGACCCCAGCGCTCAAGAGCTGTGGGCCTTTCCGAGCCTCAGTTTCCTTGTCTCTCAAATGGAGACGATTCTCACCCTCCTTCAGAGTGCCTGGGACGGTTCAGTGGATGGTTCACACACGGCCCTCAGCACGGCGCCAGGCACCTCACGAGGGTTCAGTAAATGTCAAGCGTTACCATTATTGTTTTGTTTTCATTATTACTCCACGCAACTCTATAAACAGCACGTGCCTCTCGAGCCTAAAACAGTTGCTTGAAATGGTAACACAGGGGGCTGAACGTGCTCTGTGCCATTATTCACATTAAAACAAATGGTGATTATTCACAGAAATAGGCAACAGGGAATGAAATCCAGAAATAAATCTTTTTAAAGATCTCATATTGGGCTAGAAATTTTAACACCTCTCAACAGCCTGTTTTCTAGCCAACACACACACGCACACGCACACGCACACGCACACACACTTTCTCTTCGTTTTCATATGAGATGCAATGCTCTGCTGGCCTGGCCTTGAGTTTCCTCCACTATTTCCTTTATTCTTAGTGTGTGGGGCAGGGAACAAGATCAACACCACCCAAGTGGGAGGAGTGATCCCTGGTCCTTCCGTAATCAAGGGTCACCCACATGTCACTAAGTCACAGACATGACATGCGTCAAGGTGACAACATGGGCCACAGCTCTTGGTGCCTCAGCACAAAATGGGCTCCCTTTAAAGAACAATTCCATGGGCCCGTGATGGGGGATGGGCGTGGCCCACAAAACTTAATGACACATGGAGGGCAGGCCCGGCCGGCCATGCTGGATGTTTACAGGGCCCTGCTCCGTGTGCAAACAGACTGCTTATTCACAAAAAAGAAAAAGAAAGCATCTCTAGGTCATTCATTAACGGGGCCCCGAGCGGGGGAGATGTGCAGCCAGCACTCGCTGGGGACAGTGAGACAGCTCTCCTCGTCACCGAGGTCCAACTCCGCAGTCTGCTATTTTGATGCTTGACAAATGCTCACTGTTTAGAAGTTCTAAGTACAGCAATTAAGAGCTCTTCAAAATAAATACGCTAAAGAAATCATTTTTCTTAGAATAAATAAAAAAATCACATCTAAAAAAAGCTCTGGTAAAAAAAAAAAATGCTGTGACTAAACCCAGCATAGAGCAATAGTCACATAAATAATAACAGGATTGGAGGGTGAGGCTGGAGGGTGGAGGGGAAAGGTCAACACGGCCTCCTCTAAATTCCCTGGTCCCCAGCCCCACTGCACCGTCTGCACCACACACTGATGTGCAGGGCCCACCCAGTGCGAGTACAGCTGAAACCCACGGGCTGGGAGGGCAGCCTGGGCACCACCATTTTTATAAAGCTCCTAAGTGACTCTAATGCACAATCAGGATTGAGGACCGTCATGCTCATCAGAAGAAAGTGCTTGTGATTTAGGATCCAAGCATTCAAAACTCATAACTCTCCCCAGCATTTGGTTCCACGTGGCATTCGGGTTGGCCACTCGGTATCGGGGCCTTGTGTTCATTATTTGAGTGTGAGAACCCCATTTAACATTCAGCATGGTGGGCTATGAATTTCATTCAAGACAAAGTTCAGGCATGAGACAATGAATCTCACTGACTATTCTAAAATATACCATCTCCATGAACTTCTAGAAAAAAAAAATGTTAGACAGGTACAGCTCACTTAGAATATTTACCTTCTATTTATTTTTCTTGTACACATGAAAATCAGTTCCTAGCACCAATGGCAAGCTCTCAATAGAGAGTTCTGAAGGAAAGAGATCCACACACTGCCAATAGACATTTTGAAATTCTATCATAATTCATTTTTATAAGATTTTCATTAGCCATCCTTCTGACTTTCAAAGCAATATCAAATCATTGCTGATAAATGTGTTATTCTAGAATTGAGTGTAATGTAAATCACTGCTCAAGAGCTTCCATCAATGCTGGCCTCAGAGCCACCAAACTATCACCAAACACAGCTTCTTGTTCTTCAAGCAGTAACTTGCTGGTCTTTGAAATCTTCCAAAAATGTTCCACTTCATCAAGCACAATATAATTTAAAGGCAGACACCACTACTGTTTTAAGGAGTCTGCAGAGACTCCTGCAGCTAGTCAGAACTCCAAGGCTCTGAGCAATGTGGTACTGAACTACAGCTATTCATCTAGTCATGAAGTTCCATTGACCCTGGAATGGGACAGAGTCTACCTGCTAGCTGGAGAGTCCTCCAAGAAGTGGCCTTTGTTTTCAAAATTCTTAAGTGTCAACAAATATTTTTTATGCACTTCCATGAATATAAGCGGGGGAGGGCGAGAACACAAGGAGGCCACAATCCTGAGCCTCAGGAGCAGCACCTGCAGTCCAGCGCTTCCCAGCCAGAGCCATTGCACCCCCCAGTGGATGTCTGGCAGTGTCTAGAGACTTTATTTTCATGACTGGGGTGGGAATGCTATCAACACCTAGAGAAATACTATCATAATTCATTTTTATAAGATTGTCATTAGCCATCCTGCTCAACAACCTACGCTGCCCAGGAGAGTCCCGACCACAAGATTCATCCAGCTCAAAAGGTCAGGAGCACCAAGCTGAGAAACCCTGCTGTAGAGGGTATAAGGTAAAGGGAGTGACAATCCAGGAGAGAGACCTCTTGCCATAGCCCACATCGTGAGGACTGGTGCCCGCTTTCGAAGCCCTCGCTATGTGCCGGGCACTATGCTCACCCTCCTCAGATTGTCCCCTGGATCTTCGGGAATCCTATGACCTGGTATCATCATCCGCATGGCCCCAGGCAGAGGAAGAGCTGAGGCCATAGCTTCTCCGCCTCCCGTCACATGACAATGATGATGGGCGGGCAGATGCAGGGCAGCAGAGCTGGGGGTTCAGAGGGGAGGGCTCTGAAATCAACACTCATGAGTTCGAATCTTAACTCTGTCACTGCTGGCTAGACAGCACCAAGAAAAGTGCCACAGACGCTCAGAGGGGCAAGGGCGCAGAGGAAAGGG